AAGTCGCAACTACCTACTTCTGCCTAGGCACCCGAGTAGTGGTTTTACCAGCTTAGCTCTCACACACAAAATACATGAATCAAATCGTCTAATACACAAATCTGTACAACATTTTAGACGAGTTACACTACACCAATTGACAGCCAGAAAAAAAACCATGTTTGTAGTTTAACCCACTTTAGTATTTACATCTCTTTGTGTGTGTTTTTTTATTGATTTCAGGCTGAAAATATTTACAATGATGAAGAACTTCCATTGACCATTGAAAATGAATGAATGAATGAATAAATTGTTGTGTTCATCAATATTGCATTTCAAGGTGTTTGTTTTTCTCTCCGCCGCCCCCACTACCCACTGGGTTTTTTTTATTCTACATGTCACCATTGTCATATACACTTATTTACTGAAACAAAATCTTCCAAAAAAATAGATTTATGTATCTGATCGCTTTTTTTTCTAATATAAGAAAACTCTAATAATGGTGTTTTTTCAGAGATATCCTCCCCCTCCCTATACACTTACATTTTACACTGTATGATCGACTATCAATCACAAAAAACAAGTTGCTTCAAGTTTTTGCTTAGGTTGGTCAATTCGCTGTGCTAAATTGATTGCACTGTACAATGTAAATCGCTGTACAGGAGCGGTCTAATTGATATGCACAAAAGGAAAAAAGTGGGTTAGGTCTCGCAAAATCCGTAGATCAATCAGAGTTAGACAATAACACCGTTGGATGCCGGCCCAGTGGTCCGATGGTTAGGCGTGCGCGCACAATACCGGAGTTCCTGGGTTTGAATCGTGCGTGTTGCAGGAGTTATGGATGCGCACTGCTGATGAGTCCCATACCAGGACGAAACGGCTGTCTTTCAGTGCTTCCAGGTTTCTAATGGTGGTCTAACATTGATAGATTGATGGTTTCAAATGTGTAAAAACACAAAACTCTGCCTGAAAAAAATTAGATTAATTTATCCATCATTTAGTCTCAAAGTCAGACGCATTGTGAACATCGGACGTAGTTTTGTAGCATTAAACTATGTTCTGCGTAATCTCTAAATAGATGGTTACTTGTCTGCATCGTCAACGAATTGTAGGTATACGAAAAGAGATTTCTTATTCACGGTTTGTACATTTCATATTCTAAATTTTCGGCAAGATATCTGCTGATAAACTTTTAGAGTATCATGAAATGTGTGCTGTCACTCTTTGTAACAGTATCATCAGAGTATTTAACACTTGTCCTAGGACTGTATTTCGTTAGGTCGGTCAATTTGTTGTGCTAGATTGATTGCACCATTTGATAGACATTTAAACATGTAGTTGAACAAAGCATAGTTCTGATGATTGTGTGTGTTTTAATTTGTCCGATTATTAACGTGCATCATAAGAGTAGGTGTCTTCGAAGCATTGCTCGTATATCGTAGGACCATCGAGTAAGTAATGCAGTTGTTAGGAAACGGGTGCTAGGTAAGAATGGCAGATCAGTAGATGAAGTAATGAAACTTCATCAGTTGAGGTGGTTGGGATATGTGCTGCGTATGCCTAACCACCGACTGCCTCGACGAGCAATGTTTTGTGGTTTAGAAGGGACCTAAGGGCGGCCAAATCAAAACATGGAGTCAATGAAAGGTGGACTAAGCCATGTTCGTAAGTGTAGACTGCCTGGTTGGGTTGTGCGAGACAATAGTAACCGATGGTTAAGGACCTTAAACGACATGACTCGAAATCGTTTGCGATGGCGCAGGTGCATTCATTCTTTGTGTTCTCCCGAATTGTAATCTGAATTCTCCATGACCTTTATCCTTCTCTTCACAAATTTGTTCCACGTGATACTACTTCTTGAATAATATCTCCGAACCCTAATCTTATCAATAACCGCTAATGCTTCTACTACTATGGGGTTTGAAGTGACAATTGTATCTCTGTACTAATGTGGTACGGCAACCTGAACCTATGTATGTACGTACGTACGTACGAAGTTCTACCTACTAGCTGATTGACTGATTCGTCAGAGAACTTATTACACAGATAGATTTATTAAATATGTTACTACATAAAGTTATAATAGGTCAAATATTCGAGATTAGTTAGTGCTGACTAGTGTTCTTGATGATCAGTTGACAGCAATGCTTTGTCATGCCCCCAGAGTACCAGCCCCTCTTAATTAGGTTTACCCAAATTGAATATAGGTCCAACGCTCGAGCGCCATCCTTTTTCAGGGCTGGTTGATTCGGCAGGTGAGTTGTTCACACTCCTTAGCGGCTTCCGACTTCCATGGCCACCGTCCTGCTGTCTAGACCAACCAACACCTTTTGTGGTGTCTCATGAGCGTCGCGTTAGGCACCTTAACCGAACGTTTGGTTCATCCCACAGCGCCAGTTCTGCTTACCAAAAATGGCCCACTTGGCACTTACATTCAATGCAAAACTCCAATTAAGCGAGTTAAGCTTCTCACCCATTTAAAGTTTGAGAATAGGTTGAGGATGATTTATCCCCAATGCCTCTAATCATTCGCTTTACCGGATAAAACTGTTTATTTCTCAGAATGCCAGCTATCCTGAGGGAAACTTCGGAGGGAACCAGCTACTAGATGGTTCGATTAGTCTTTCGCCCCTATACTCACGTTATACGATCGATTTGCACGTCAGAATCGCTACGGTCCTCCACCAGAGTTTCCTCTGGCTTCAACCTTCCCAAGCATAGTTCACCATCTTTCGGGTCTCAACGTGTGCGCTCTTGCTCCGCCCCGACGGTGCACGCAACGCAAGGTCACATGTCTACGTCATGGGACGGGCCGGTGATGCGCCCACTGCTCGCAACTTGGAAAGTATGAGCAAGACAGCAGGATCTCACCTCAGCCCGGACAAGCCGAACCTTTACCTTCACTTCGCCTTTGGGTTTCGTAACACCCAATGACTCGCGCACATGTTAAACTCCTTGGTCCGTGTTTCAAGACGGGTCAGGTGCATCGTCTACCACTACACCACAGACTATGAGCCCAAGCCGTTCACACACGCAACTGCCAACGCAACAAAATCAAGCCATCAGCCGAAGCCAGTAACAAACCGACCAGACTCAACAATGTCCGCAGGTCTAAGCACGTATGCGAAGCCGCCATCTCCGACACACCGCACAGATCCACTACAACCAGCTAGTAACACTCACGGCCCACGAATGAGCCAGAGAGTCACCTGCCGACCCAGCCAAGCCCAACAATGCCAGACTCGACCAGTTTGATCATAGCAGACAGGCAGCAGCGCCGGTCGTGGTGAACACCCTGAGAAAGTGCACTGACAAGCAGACCCTCACACCAACAGTGCGTGCGTCGCTTGCAAACGATTCACACTCACCCACCGATAAGGCAGGCACCCGCGGTTAAACGGACACTGAAGGCGGCCAGTATGCCCAAGCACAAATCACACTCATCAGCTGAATTCTCAGGGCTTGCAGTTCAACTCCACCCGTTTACCTTTGAGCGGTTTCACGCACTGTTTACTCTCTCTTCAAAGTACTTTTCAACTTTCCCTCACGGTACTTGTTTGCTATCGGACTCGTGTAAGTATTTAGCCTTGGATGGAGTCTACCACCCACTTTGGGCTGCATTCACAAACAACCCGACTCTAAGGGGAGCTCTGAGCAGAACTGTCACACTTGGTCTCTACCCCCACGGGCCTTTCACCCTCTATGGGCCAGAATGGGAAGCCGTACTCATTGCTGGACTTGGGGAAGAGCAGTAATGCCAGAAGCCAACCTAAACACCACATTGCCTCACGATCAAACAACCGTAGGCTTCGGTGTTGGGCTAATCCCTGTTCACTCGCAGTTACTAAGGGAATCCTTGTTAGTTTCTTTTCCTCCGCTTAGTGATATGCTTAAGTTCAGCGGGTAATCACGTCTGGTCCGAGGTCAGGGTCAATTATATAATGTGTGCGCCGGATAAGTGCGCACCAACGGCACAAATCATAGAGCCAAGATCAAGTGATTTGTATAGCATACGATAGGTGCGTCTCTCCCGAGCGTGCATAATACCATTAAGCCACGACTCGGGCACAACCCACCGCAGCATCTCAATCTGGTTATCTAGACCGGACTAGGCTGTGGCCGGATTATTCGGACGGAGCCTTTGACCAGCAGCAACCCGCGTTCATATACGAGTGTACATGCCGGCAGGCACACGGCCAATCCACGACTCAATGTGCGTCGTGATATATGCAAAGCCGACCCTCGGCCAGGCGTGGCCACAGGATATCCCGTAGCCGCAATATGCGTTCAAGATGTCGATGTTCAAAGCAGTATGCAGTTCACATTAATTCACACAGTTGGCTGCACTCTTCATCGACACACGAGCCGAGTGATCCACCGCTCAAAGTTGTACGCCAATAATCCTTTACATTGGTTACCCAAATGCATTGGACTAATGGTTAACGCTGAAGCCTAGGATATTTACCGCTAAGCCAGCGTACATGCTCTTCACGAGCTCTAGTAAGGCGTCTAAGTATAATCGAGGCCAATATTTTAGATACTATATTAGTTAGACTTATTCCCCTGTGATTGTCACAAGGAGGCTTTTGTCCTTTCTTATAAATTGGGACAATCAAGGATTGAGACCAGTCGGATGGGATTACGTCCAGTTCCCAGATTCTACCTAAGATCTCAGTCAACCTAGCTGCTAAAACTGGACCACCATCCTTAAATATCTCAGGGGTCAGTCTATCAGGACCTGCAGCTCGCCCTCGTTTCAGATTTCCTATCGCTTCATTCTAGCTTTATGGTTAACCTTACTAGCAGATATCACTGCTGTTTCCATAGCCTTTTTGATATCATTCCAACCTGCCTCCTGATAAGAATCGCTTACATGGTCGCCTAACTGTCTTTCTAGTTGTTCTTGAAATATATTCTTCTTCATAGAACACAAAGACAGGATGCATCTGCGACATAGCAAATGATTTTGAAGTCACGTCAAGTAGGTCACACGACTTGAATGAGAAAAAAAAGTCAAATTTTTACACTGTAAAAATTATCACGTCATTTTAAAAGTAGAGAAGAACAATGAAGGAATACAACATCATCATTACAGTTTAATTTTAAGTTATTACTTACTATACAACTATGTAGTTTTTGATTGAATGATTAGTAGTAGTATGTACATTTTGAAACTATGCATAATATTTTATTATATATATATATATATCAAAGAAGAAAAAGACTCAATCTCCTCTATACACACAAACACACACACCCGCATGTTTATCGTTTCTTTTTCTCTTTACGTTCCATTTTATTCTTCTCTTCATATTTTTGTAACAATTTCACAAATTTTGGATCATGTTTTGTTGGATAATAACCAAAACGATCTCTTGCCTATAGAAGTAAAAAAAACAAATAAATTTGTTTCTCAAAACGGCCATTAACCTACCTCTTCCATGATCATTTTCATTTTGTCTTGTTTCACTAAATCAACTGATAAATGTTTTGCTTGTTGATTACGAAATTTCTCTAACATTTCAGGCATTTTACTTAAATTCTTACGAATTCTTAACATTCTAGAAAAGGAGAGAGAGAGAGAATTAAGATTAAACGAGAATGAATTCAACTGTTTACAATGCTTCATTGTCTTGTCTGGCTTTTTCCTCTTGTTCTTTCTTAGCATTGACAACTTCTATGACTGGAGATTCACGTAAATTCTCTTTGTTTTGTTCATAAGCCAGTTCATTCTGATCCATAAATAAACAACCAGGATTAACACCAGTTTGTAATCCATACTCGCCAAATAAACGTCTACGATAATCTTCTGTTTTTTCTTTACGACTAGATATTTTAAAAAATTCCGTAGCTGGTTGCATTCTTGCTTTTAAATGTATTGGAAGACGTGCAGTATCGAAATATTGTAATTCATTTGGTAGACAAGAATTAGTCCATTCTTGATTCCATCGTTCATATGCATTTGGTTTTGATAAGGTGATAGTTTGAAAATCATCTAAATGAAATGGTATTTCCCAATGACGATAGTATTTTTTATGCCTAACATGATGACCAGTAATAATTAGTGTACATTTTTGATGAGTTGTTAATAGTTTTGTAATAATAGATGATGAAGATGAAATCATTATTTACAAATCTATGAAATTACAAAAAAAAATAAAATAAAATAATTCGATTATTTTATGGATATTTCAGTACTGAAAAAGGTAAAGTGTTCTGTCTCAGTCAGTTGCAACGTAGAACTTCGTACGTAAGTACATCAGTTCACGTCGCCATACCACATCAGCACAGAGATATAATTGTCAATTCAAATCCAATAGTAGTAGAGGTAGTAAAGGTATTAGAAGTAATCGGAGAGGTTAGGATTACAAGATATTATTCAAGAAGTATGATTCAGTGAGAAAAGTTCAGAAAGTCAAAACTAGAGGTATTGAAGAATCCAGAAGATTAGAATTTGAGAGAACACAAAGAATAAATGCACTGGCGCCATTGCGAACGATTTACAGCCATGTCATTCAGGGTTTCTAACCATCGATTATTATCATCTCGCGGACACCAACCAGGTAGTCGACACCTACCGACATGACTTAGTCCACTTGTCAATGACTTCATGGGATTCTGCCATGTTTTAATCTGGCTGCACCTAGCTTTCTTCCAACCTACTCCTAAACAATGGAACATAGATCGTCGAGGCAGTCAGTGGTTGGGCATTCGTAACACATGTCACAGCCACCTCAACTGATGAAGTTTCACCACTTCATCTATTGATCTGCCATCCTTACCTAGCACCCGTTTCCTAATAACAGCGTTGCTCACTCCGGTGTCCCACGATATACGAGCAATGCTTCGAAGACATCTATGATCGAAAAACAGTAACCGACGAATATCTTCTACTCTTACTGGCCATGTTTCACAGCCATAAAGTAAGACGGAGCGAACTACTGCACAGTACACTCGTCCTTTAGTCAACAAACGGATATCTCGCCTACGCCATAAGTGACGCAGGTTGGCAAAAGCCAATCGAGCCTTCTGTATCCGTACCGAGATTTCGTCAGTCACCAGGCCATCAGCACTGATGAGACTCCCAAGATAAGTGAAGCGGTCTACACGTTCGACCACTTCACTCCCTATCACTAGTTCAGGTGTCGATGTAACCCATGATTGAAGCAACATTTTTCATTTCGAGGGGGAAAACCGCATCCCGAACATGCTTGCATTGTTGCTTAGGGTAGTCAGAAGACTCTGCATTTTGTCAGCGCCTTCACCAAGTAGGACAATGTCATCGGCATATTCTAAGTCAATAAGCGAGCCACCTGGTAAAAGGTCTACTCCTAAAAATTCAGACGAGGATAAGGTTATTTCTAGGAGCATGTCTATGATAAAATTAAACAAGAATGGAGAAAGTGGACATCCTTGACGGACACCACTTGATGTAAAGAATTCCGGTGACAATTCGCCATAAGATCTCACTCGACCAGTGGTGTTCGAGTAAAGAGCTTGTATAAGGTTAATATACTTCTTTGGTACACCTTTCAATGAGACATTGCCACAGAACCTCACGATCAACCAAGTCAAATGCCGCCTTAAGGTCTAGGAAAACAACTATTGTAGGACGCCTGGAAACGAGATTAGATCAACAACAAAAATCTTCTCAGTTTATCGAGGTGACCGAATAGCCAAACAGGTTTTAGTGGCCCGCGATCTGACAACAATCTTGGACGACCGACAGAATATGCTGTGAAATAAATCTTCTTTTCAATTTCTGTATATCAAGCTTCTGCAAACCCTGATTATGCGACGGATTCAGTTGGATGAGCTTATTCCATGCAATCGTTTACGCAGACGGATATGAGAATACAAAGAGTGAAAGTGAAGCGGAGAATGCGAAAGGGCCAACTCAATGTGATTCAGCATGGCTAGCTATTTACAGTCAAACAAAAATAAGCTAGACACATGTAATGAGGGAAGTGGGTAATGCACATATACACTTAAAAGCGAACAACTGATAGGGTCGAAAGACTTGATTAGTAACTCAGGGAGAAAAGATTGATCAGTCTGTCAGAAAGCTAGGGTAAGTCAATATGGGCCCAACATATTGAAAAACACACTACGGAGAAATTCCTTGACGTCAATATTGTATGACCTGTTGATGAGTAATATGAAGTAGTTTTGCTCTGAACTTGCTTCAATATTACCGCTGGCACCAAAAATACGTGGTGCAATAATTCTGGGGTAGCTTTTACATTTCAATCGGATTATTATTATTCGTAAACCCACACACTATATAAAGATAAAAGCTAAAATCTCGTTTACAATGATGGATTTCTGAAAAAAAGTCATCAGTAAGTAAAATACAGTGCCCTGTATAACATTTGGTTGTTTATTCTTCTAAACGAAGTATGTTATATTCAATATTAACATCTACTAAGTTATGTTTATTGCAGTAAGGTATCTAAACTCTCAAAATAATCTGTGGGTACTTGACAAAATAATTCTTACGTAGATTCCGTATGTTTAAACTTTATGAGATAGAATATATCGTACTTTTTTAATCAAATAACGCTATTTTAAGTAACAGATAAAATGAAATCAAAAAAGTGATTGTAGACGTAGATATTCCTCTATTGACTTAGTCGGAAACGTTGTTTTGGGGAAAATTACCACCAGGTTACCGTCTTAGACAAACAACTGAATACTTCAGCAGAGAAATGATTGGACTGATTTCCTATTGTGACACAAGATTAGATGTCACATTCTTACTGTGGGTTAACATATTTTTTGGGTAGCCAATTGCTAGGGATATTTAGTATCTGCTTTCAGAACACTAGAAAGCAGTTCAAATGGAACAGAGAAAATCAACAAGCACTTATCTATAAATTGAGGCATTATGAGAAATTTATTTACTGATTGATTTTACTTATAAAATATCTGCATTGTAATAATATTGATGCATAAATACAGCGTAAGATATTACAAGTATTCTTCAGATAGAAACATTTTAATAACGTGAATAAAGTGTAAATGTGGGTTTATATATTATTTTTTAAGAATTGTTTACTTAGTTAGTGTAGGAAAGTCCGGTTGATTACTGATTTTATGTATAAAAGACGTGGTATAAATAGGCATCTCGTCTTTAAGTATGCAGAAAAAGTTACAAACAGTGGATTTACTGGAGATTTCTCAGTGAACTTTAAGTTTTACTGAAAATAGTCAGAAATGAGCCAAACAATCAGTAAGCCCATCTAGTTTACTTACTTCGAATTGATATAAAATCGGAAATGATTAGAAACAACACAAACATGAAGTTACAGCACACTTATAATCGTAACCAGAAGTCGGTAGCGCAGTATTTTAAATGCGTTACAGAGCATTAAACTGGTATGAGCACTAAACTAGATTTACGACTAGAAACTACACTCTTTTCTGGGAAGAAATATCAGTATCCTATTCTTTGGAATTTTTACTCAGATTATAGAAGACGGTTTTCGATTATAATACGGTGGAATTTCGGTTCTAATTATTTGGGACCTAAACAGGAGAAACTTTTGTCAATGGCAGACGCAGTAATTGAGGAGTATGGTTTGACTATTTACTACTTACGAAACTTAAACAAACATCCGAATCGCTTTGGAAAGTTTTCGTAAAATGTCTCAGTGAGGCTTACTCTAGGGATATTTTGCTCAAGCTCTCATTTTCTGTTCTGAGAAAGTATCTTCAAAACCAGTAAAAAATCAACGGCTTTTATACAAATCATCCAACAAAAGGTCAGAAAACTTGGGAAATCTTGCTAATACTCATAAGAATCAGTGCCACAATTAATCTAATTCTATGATGCAGCTTAAAATTGTAGAACATTTCAAATATCACTGGGTCCTGTGCAAACCACCCGATAGGCCAATCAGAGATTGTCAAGCCATCTGATGAATGTCTCTGAAGTCAAGAACAACCAACTTAAGAAAAATGGCTGTCGTATGGCAGTCTATTGAGTAAGAAACTTCACAAAAAAAAAGCAAGACTATTGGTACTTCTAAAAACAGGTGAATTCACGATAGGCTATTAGGTCGAATCATTCAGTGACAACTCATTAAGGCACCCAGTAATCGACTAAAGTAATCACGTGTAGGGATTAGGCATTATACGGGCAGAAACACACTCCATAGGCATATCTGTTACATATGTCCTCTGATGAGAACAAAAATAGTTGGCGTTCAATCACTGATTACTGATGACTCGTTACCAAAACCACACCTCGTCCTGACCCGTTTCCTTGTTTTACAAATTGCTAGTTACCTTGAGACGTACAACCATCTTTTCGAAAATCTATTCGGCTAAATAGTTTAACTGAGACCCTATAGCATCAGATGATACTCCTAAAACGGGCTTCATCAGTTACTTTGGATTCTACGAATTTTTATGTGTGCCATTCAGTGTAAGGTATTCGCCCCTCAGTAAATGAGGAAAATTTCGGACCGGCGGCAATTTGTATTTATCTTCGTGACAGGTTAGTATTAGGCCGTCGTTCGACCACAGAGTGGCCACTCTTTCTATCCTTGTAGTATATTGATTAATAAAACGTCATCGGTGTTTTTCTCAGTGATGTTTGATGACGGCTCATTTTTATTTCCCTGTCACTACGAGTTACCACTATCCAGCTATAGTTGTTTTGGAGCAAACGCTTGTTAGCTTTTATTCATGACAACTGGCTTCACTAATCTGCACAGTGAAGACTATTCAAGAAATAATTCTTTTTGCATATTACCGACCTAAATCTGATTTTGAGTGAATGTTTATTGTTTATAATAAGCACGAACGCATCCACATTATCTCAGTTAAGGTATCATAAACAAATATTTAAACGTGAAATTTCTCATATCTTCTGTTTTTCCTCCCATTTTCAGGCTCAGTAATATAAGTTATTTCAAAAAAGTTAAAGCTCCCCGTATAAGAAAGTCTTCTCAACTTAGTTTCGACTCATTATATTCTTAAGACTCATTTTGATTAAGTATAATATAGTTGGTTCATATGCGAAATCAATAAATAATATGAAATCGTGCGTCTTCATATTATAATTAAAATTAATAGGACTCTAGGTCTATTAAGCTGACCAATTATGTTGTCCTGGCATAACACAATTAGCCAAGGTATTATAAGCTGATTTTTAGTAATGCAATTTCTCGTGTTAACGAAATTGCAGACTAGTTGCATGTAACTTGAAAAACTTCCACTTGTTCTTGCACTGGCTTGAGTTGATGGAGATTTGTAGCTCAGGTGGATGATTGTGGTGGTGGTGTTTGGTTCTCTGAGCTGGGTGTTTTTGTTGTGGAGCTTTCATTCAGATAGAAGTCTGAAGTTTGTGCTGATGATGTTGTTCGGAAGTGTAACCATGAAAGCACCACAACAAAAACACCTAGCTCAGAGAACCAAACACCACCACAACTGGCTGGAGTAATCAAAACATGTCAAGTGAAAATATATCCAAGATGTCATTATTTTAACATGTAAGCATACAATATACAAGATATACAGCATGACTGAACAATGTATTCAGTATTATTAGTGTTATAAAATTTTCAACGCCATTTATAAAAGAATAATCAACAATTTACATAATTGGTGTACAGATAAGATGCTATTCATGTAGAGCTAAAACTTGGGTAGAAATCAGTGAAAATGCACGATATGAAACTAATGCAGATACACCAACCAGTGGATAAATGTGCTTTCGTACTATAGGTTCGCGTTCGTTACAGTGTGCTCACTACGTATAATGTGACCTTGATAGCTTTGCCCCACAGTTGCATGTTGCAGTTGTGGCCATTTAGTAACCGATATACAGCAAGGATGGCTACTCTGTTCTCAAATGACACCAAGGCACCAATTTACCCCAATCGAGGAGAAAGAAAAAGACCAACTACCACAGGTCAAATATTTTCCTTGTTATCACATTTCAGAAATTGCTTCATTTAAACACAAAACCAGAACATATAACAACAGTAAAAGTCAGTGAACAACTATACAGTAATGAACCACAGGTAACTTTGACGAGGGAAGACTTAGGATAATAAACTGGCAAAAGATTAATGGTCACTCATACTGAAATACTTAATGACTTAATCAAGAGCTCAAGATAAGGAAAACATGAGGATAACAATCTGCTAACTTCATAAATACTTGATTAAACTATATTCAATAATAACCCATAAGATTGGTTCTTAAGTTACCACCACCTTTAGACTTCATCAGGATATGACGGTACACAGAGGGTTTAAAGACTTCAACTACTTTATTACAATGGCATTTTAAAGGATTGCACTACATTATTGATGTTGCCTGACGCTTACAGTTTAGCATGTGCTTAGTCATCTGAAAATGCTCATAAAATGTCGACAGAGTTAGATGGCGAAACCGATATAAAGTAGCCAACATCAGACAAAGAAGCAGCGAATGTAGAATAAAAATCTCAGTTTCGTCACCGATAATAAATGGCCTGTGACAAAGATGCTCTGCCTAACTAGCGTGAGTGGACCGAGATAATTACCATCTCTATTTATATCTGCTATTTGTTGACTACATCCCACATTAATTTTGAACTCATTAATAAGGTTCATATGAGATGTTTAATACCTAACAAAACAGAGTGAAGTTGAGTAAAGATCTGAGCACAATATCAATAGATGCTCCAGAGCCGTTTTTCGGGAGTGCTTGTCTTTGTGGATATTTGCCCCGATTTGTTGTCTTCACATTACCCTTCGGCATGATCGTTTTTTGTTTTTTTGCTAGTCTGATATGCTGATTGGTTAGGAATAGAATCAGTTTGTACACATCAATTTTATAACATAACGAAATGCAAGCTCTTCGAAGTTGTTTGACACAGTTCTGAGCCGGGGCTTTTTAGAACGACTGTTCAACTGTTTTTTGGAGAGTGACGACTTTGGACCCAAACAGTGTTTCCTTGAAAATTAGATGAGTTATTTCCGGATTCATCAGCCTTATGTGTTCACAGCGACACCAACCCCATTACACCTTCCAATGGTGAGTTCAGAAGTTGGAGCTGAACTTTACTAAGCAATGTGATGAAATAGATATCAATGTATGCATGTAAAGAGACGTTGTCTCTTTGGAGAGGACTGTTAATCCGTGTGAGTTATGCAATAACTGTTTGGAGTATCATTTTTGTCAATCACCTGAGGATTGTAAACTATTCCTTAACACCCTTGGAATCGAGTGTTCCGTAGCTATTCAAACAAGAAGCCAGGATTGATGAAAATCAGATATGGATGTGGAAGATAGCTGGTTAGTTAAAAATATGTGACATAGGCTGCATATCTGCTGCGAGAGTATGCGTTGTCACTAGACTACGGAAAACAGGAACCGAATGCTGGAGATGAGATTCTCTGTCCGCAATAGCGACTACAAGGTCATCAACATGATCATGCAAAGAGTCGACAACTACTGAAACGTCATCAATCAATTTCTGAAGAGTTTGAGCAGCACTTTTACACTGAAAGGCATTCATAAAAATTTGTAGAATCCAAAGGAAGTGATGAAATCCGTTTTAGGAGTATCATCTGATGCTATAGGGTCTCAGTTAAACTATTTAGCCGAATGGATTTTCGAAAAGATGGTCGTACGTCTCAAGGTAACTGACGATTTGTGAAAACAAGGAAGCGGGTAATGACGAGATGTGGTTTTGGTAACAAGTCATCAGTAATCAGTGATTGAACGCCAACCATTTCTGTCCTCATCAGAGAAGATATGTAACAGATATGCCTATGGAGTGTGTTGATGTTCATGAAATCCCTGTATCTATCATATGATTTTGCTGACGATTTTGTATTGTTGATTCGATTGTGAAGATTGCTTCCACCGAGACGTTTCTAGCCTGTTATTGGGATTCTTTTCAACGATTATTATTTCTACAAAATTTTTGTTGATTATCTATTCTTTTTCATATATTTTCGATTTCCAGTACCGCCTGCCATCGTGGTTAGGTTTAACAACCTAATCGGCGTTGGTTATTAATTTCAGTCTTGTCACACTGTGAAAACTGCTATCTCCCAAGTGAAACATGAGCCATAACGTCAGATGAATTTCCAAAATAAATAGCTCTAGGTGTCTTCAAAATTAATGCCTATATTGTTATTTCTTGTGAACGCACCGTTACCGAAGGTTCTTGGTCACTCATCCACACCATACCAACTTTGTATACGTCGTACACTGCTTCCTCTCGTTTTAACCAATTAGCCTAGTTCACTCGTCGACATTCCAAACGTCGTTCAAATATGCTTTCGATGTTTGTCTTTCCATACTTCTAGTTTTATTTGGTTTCGTCTATTCTCGACCAGAAGTGAATAAAACGCCTGAGTTGTCCAATTCTAAAATCCAGGAAACCTTTGTACATTCAGTGACGGCAGAGATGTATGAGTTGATCGACTATTGCATTGAATTTCTTAAAGAATTTTCGTTACGGTCGATATAAATTCAGAGCAATATGTTCTGGACAAAATAGGTTATCTTCAATAGATCTATTTTGGCTCATGGATTAACATTGCTGATACTCGTATTTTACAATTCAGTCAGACGAAATCTAAAGTGCTCAATCTGTTTTACGGTTATTCACAACAGATTTACTTCGAACTATATGAATAATCACAATAGTTAATTTGGATACCGATGAACTGAGTGAACGAATTTCGATCATTCTGAGTGAAAATAGTTATAGGGTTCGGCTGCAAGTGACGGCATGTTTGAAAGTTTAAAAAACCACCTAAAATCGGATGGGCTGTGGTTTTTTCAATGGTAAGCACTTAACGTGCACTGAATTCGGAAGATTGATAAATCTGTCAGCTTCCCCTATAGACTGAGAGATACTGGAGACGGTGAAATTCTGATAAGTTCACTTCCCATTTGTGATGGATTGTAGACCCTAAGTACTTTTTACTAAAAGCTTAGTGGCATGTGAAGGTCACCTGCAGGATAAAATTCCCAAAAATCTTTTGTATTTAAATTTAAAACTAGTGACTTTTTCATCAGTACACTGTGATCTAGAACTTATTTGATGAAACGTATCAGCACACTGATCATTTCGAGATTTCATACTTACTGAATTTATATCGACCGGCGTGTGGTCGGCCAAGTAGCGTTCAAGCTGCATGAGTTTTTTGTTCAGTCACTGATCTCACTCAACATAACACTGACCCTTCAATGTAGCAACGAACCTATATGTTTCATCATTCCAAGATTGACGATGTGCAGTCGAACATTTCTGGCTTTTGAAAATAATCCTCACGTACCAAGTGTATACTCTAAAGACCTAGTGGTTGGAGTTTGTCCACACTTGCATTACATCAGGTAGTATGTGGGTGAATTTTAAGATTCGCTTGATTGGTTTATCAGTAAACATAAGTTATGGCTAATCTGCTATTTGTGTAATGAATGCCTCACAAATAAAGACAAAATATCACCGAATACACAGTTTGAGCATTGGATATTGATTCACGGGATTGGATCTTGGACTAATTGTGTCCATCTTATTCTGTTCCAAATAAAAATAACCCTAAATTCGCAATTTTTATGATATCTGGTCAATACTATATGGTTGTTAACGCTTGTCACACAAGTCCTAAACATTCATGACCATACGTTGTTTGATTATACTCCGTCGCATTTTGTAGTATATTTCAGCTATGTCTACATGTAGCAAACTTTATTCCATATTAAAATCACCAGATAAATTGAAAGTACCATTCACTGATTCACATGGGGATAAAAAACCTATGGTCCCAGCTAAACGTTCACATTCAGATGGTATTCTCTGGCAATGTTGGGAATGTGGAAAGTCTTATGAAACAGGATTTCGTTTGTCGGAACACCTTCAAAATTGTAAAAAAGATGATGAAATTTATGAACAACTACCTGGTTGTCCATATTGTCCTCGTGTAATGAATCAAACCAATGATGCACCATTTCATATTCATTCATTCAATACACATGTACATAGATTTCATCCAGAAATTAAGTCTTTTATGTGCAGTTATTGTATGAATATAATTCATTCATCTAAAATTCAAGATTTAATATCTCATATTATTAATACTCATAAAATACCATGGAGGCCATCACCAGGTAAATAGATATTTGTAATGTATATCTAGTTTCATTTTTTTTTGGTATAATTACTTCATGTCATAATGTTGACTTATCGCTTCCACAAAACCTAATTGTTATTGACTTTGTATTAGTTCTGTTTGTAACTCTGTGCTAAGTATTTATCAGTGGTTTATTTGTTAGACAGAAAGTTAACACAACAGAAATTCTGGCAATTTTGTGTCTTATCAAGTACCTTCTTATTTTTAAGTAGTGTTGTCGGTTATCAAACGTTATTCTGACTAATTTCGGCAACGAATATCATAAAATCATGTATTCTTTAATCTTATAACTCACTTGTTTGCTTCTTATTTGTACATAACAAAGAAAATGCTGAAGAATCATAACTAAATCGTGAATGCATTTCTCTGAGCGTACTATGATTCGTTAGGAATAATTTAAAAAAGGTTATAGATTTTGATAAGTTTTACAAGTGGCTGTTATAAGATGGATGTTTCAGTAGTTAGACTGTTCAACTTACTACTACTATGTCACAGATTCCAACCTTGTTCTCCTTTTTTTCACCTGGATAGTATCGCACTTAGTCTGGTTTAAATCCAAGAACATGAATTTTACCTGATAAGTAACTTAGGTAAACTACTATTATAGCATAGTATTAGTATGTATACTAAGAATTCCATGAAAGAAGCATTTTTATACAGAATAAAGCTATAATCATTTGGCATTATTAATGCTATAAGGCTAATACGAAATATGTTAGTTTATAAAGTAAACTAAATGATCCATGATTAATAGGTTCAAACTAATAAATTCTACTTTTTTATAATGATAACGAACCTGTGGTAGTATAAAACAAGCTTTGGAATCACATTCTGTATTTACTTGGGATTGGGTTAGTCTTTTACCTCCTTTGTTCATCGAATAAGCGATTCTGTTGTTACTAAACGGGTACTAGGTAGGGATGAAAAACCGACTGATGAAGTACTGCATTTTCATCATGTGAGGTAGTTGGGACATGTGTTACGTATGGATGACCACCGACTGCCTTGTAGAGAAGTAGGTTAGGAGAAAGCTAAGGGCAGCCAAACCAAAACATGACACAAGTTCATGAAGTCACTGACAAGTGGACTGGGTCATGTCGGTAAGTGTATATTACTTGGTTATGGTCTGTGAAATGTAAGTAATCGTCTGTTAAAGACTTTGAATGACATGGCTGAAGACTGTTTGCACTGGTGTAGGTGTATCCATTCATTGTATTCTCTCAAATTTTAGTCTTCTGAATTCCTCATCACCTTTATCTTCCTGTTTCTAAGTCTATTCCACTGGATTATACTCCCTGAATAATTTCTTCGAACCTTAATCTTTTCGATTACTGCTTATTCTTCTACTACCTTTACTACCATAGGATTTGAATCGAAAATTGTAGCTCTGAGTTAATATGGTACGGTAACTTAAACTGATGTACGTACTTATCAAGTTCTATGTTGTAGCTCACTGACTTGCCTCTATTGTTATCAGTGTGGAAAGTTAGAGAGAATGTTTTGATGTTAAATTCACTTGATTTCTTATCATCATATATACTGTTTCTGATATTTCAAAGTTAATCATTTAGTAGATAATATCATGAATTTCCTAATTCTTAGACTGTATATACACATACATACGTAGATTTTCGACATAAGATCTGGCACAAATGTATGTTGGTCAATCAGCTATAACAAAGAACCTCGTACCTATGTACATCACAGTTCAAATTGCCTTACCACAGAACAGAGATGCAATTGTCAATTCAAATCACATAATCGTAAAGGTCGTAGCAGTATTAGAGGTAATGGAGAAGTGTAGGGTTCGAAAATACAATTCGAAAAGCATAACCTAGTGAAATAAGTTTAAAAAGGAGAATAAAGGTCATGAAGATTAGAATTTGAGAGAAGACAAAGAATAGATGTATCTGCATCATAGCAAACGATTTTGAACCATGTCATTCAAGGTATCTAATCATCGGCTACTATCATCTCGCAGACCCCAACCAGGTAATTTACACCTATTAGCATGGCTCAGTCCATTTGTCAATGACTTCATGGTTTTGGTATCATGTTTTGGTTTGGCCTCCCTTAGCTTTCTCCCAGCCTAACCCTCACCACCAAACATTGTATGTCGAGGCAGTCGGTGGTTGGGCATGCGTAACACATGTCCAGAACGCCTCAACTGATAAAGATTCACTACTTTATCTGTTTATCTGCTATGTTGGCCCTAGTTACAATACCTGTTTACCTTGACGAGATGAAACTACCAAATATATGGAAATAATAATATAATAGCACTAATATAAAGGATTAAACTTTGAAAATATAATTTAAAGCAACTGTGAAAAATATATAACAAACTGATGCAGCATTTCAAGACCGAATGTCAGACAAACTGAAAAGTGTAGTCTTTAAACAGTGCAGATAGTTAAAATGACTAAAATGTAGGTTTATGTTCCTACCTTGTGACGTATTAGCCAATTCAAGCTGATCGATATGATTTCTGACTTTTTTTTTCCAATCATCATCATCATCGTCATCATTTAATGCTTCATTCGGAAGTTGTTATTTTTAGTTCTACATTATACACTTCATGATTTAATTTACTCCAATTTCTATAGAGTTACTGAATCTACAGTCACAATTGTACTATTTTTTACTGCTTGTCTTTATAAACATATTATTTAAATACTGTTTCTCTCAAATTCTAATGTTGATAAAGTGGTGAAACTTCATCAGTTGAGGTGATTGGGACATGTGTTACGTATGGCTAACCACCGACTGCCTCGACAAGTTATGCTTTGTAGTGTAAGAGTAGGTTGGAAGAAAACTAGGGGCGGCCAAACCAAAACATGGCAGAAATCCATGAAGTCACTGACAAGTGGACTGAGTCATGTTGGTAGATGTAGACTACCTGGTTGGGGCCCGCGAGACAATAGTCACCGATGGTTAGAGATCATAAACGACATGACTGAAAATCGTTTGCAATAGTGCAAGTGCATCCATTCTTTGAGCTCTGTCAAATCCTAATCTTCTGGATTCGTCAGCACCTCTAACTCGTCATCTTTATCTTTCTCTTTCTAAAGTTATCTCAGTGAACTATACTTCTTGAATAATATCTTCAAACCCTAGTCTTCTTCATTATCATTAATACCTCTACTATCTCTACCACTATGGGATTTGAATTGACAATTGCGTCTCTCTCTGCTAATGCGGTATGGCAACCTGAACTTAATGTACTTACGTACAAAGTCCTACGTTGTAACTGACTAATTGACTGACTGTTTAATTCCTGTTTATTCAGTTTCATTATGGCTATCTAGTTTATCTGTAATTAAAGTTCAACATGTCTGAATTAATAAAGTCTCACAATCAACAATCGACTGTCTGAACGTTTTACATTTGGAAGTTGTTGTGTTTTTTTTTAAAAAAATTGAATAATTCTCATTGTGGATAAAAATTGTTTATTGTTAATCTCAATTCATTTCATTATTTCATTGTTTTATTATTATTATTTCATTTAATCATAGCTTCATTGGCACATTTACGAGAAAATCAATTACCTCATCGAGTTGTTACTTGTTTAGGCTGTGGTTGGTGTACATTTGTATTACGTGCTAATAATGCAGCACAACCACCGACATCATTGGAAGCACATATGAATCGATGCTCATTTAATGGTGGACAAGTTTATTTAACACGTCTCTCTGAGGAGATTTATATGTCTGCATTAGAAAAATATAAAGCTGTACAAGAATCTGAAGTGATTAGTGCTAATTTTGCTCAATGTTTTCCACATGTTAGAGGATTTATTGGTAATACTGGTTTAAGTCATCATAGTCCATTTCGTTTTCATCGTTATTCTGGTAATAGTGCAACATCTCGTGTGAGTTCCTTTTTCTTTTCTCTTCCCAATGAAATCTCTTTTTTTATTGTTAGTTAAAAGTAAACATTATTCATGATTATAATGTATTTATTACCATGTCAGTCAGTCAGTCAGATGCAACGTAGAACTTTGTACGTATGTACATAAGTTCATGTTGCCATACCACATCAGCACAGAGATGTAATTGTCAATTCAAATCCAATAGTAGAAGAGGTAGTAAAGGTATTAGAAGTAGTCGGAGAGGTGAGAACTAGTAGATAATATTCAAGAAGTATGATTCAGTGAGATACGTTTAGAAAGTCAAAACTAGAGTTGTTGAAGAACCAAGAAGATTAGGATTTGAAAGAACACAAAGAATAAATGCACCGGCGCCATTGCAAACGATTTTGGGCCATGTCATTCAAGGTCTCTAACCATCGATTATTATCATCTCGCGGACCCCAACCAGATAGTCGACATCTACCAACATGGCTAAGTCCACTCGTCAATGACTTCATGGATTTCTGCCATGTTTTGGTTTGGCCGCCCCTAACTTTCTTCAAACCTACTTCTACACTACAAAACATAGCTCGACGAGGCAGTCGGTGGTTGGGCATACGCAACACCTGTCCCAACCACCTCAACTGATGAAGTTTCACCACTTCATCTATTGATTTGCCATCCTTACCTAGCACCCGATTCCTAATAACAGCGTTGCTCACTCGGGTGTCCCAGGATATTATACGAGCAATGCTTCGAAGACATCTATGATCGAAAACCAGTAACCTACGAATATCTTCTACTCTAACTGGCCATGTTTCACAGCCATAAAGTAAGACGGAGCGAACCACTGCACAGTACACTCGTCCTTTAGTCAGCAAGCGAATATCTTGCCTTCGCCATAAGTGACGCAGGTTGGCAAAAGCCAATTTATTACCATGTGGTTAAAAGTGTATAGTTGTGATTATGCAGCCTTGAAAGTGAATTTTCCGGAAAGAGAACTCTTCGTTGAACTAATCTTGTGTCTTATTCTTCATAGACATATATACATATAGTATGTGTATTATGAACTAAGCAGATATTATTATCTACTGACCAACACGATGGTTCATTGGTTATAGGATTTGAATTACAGGTTCGAAATGTGCTCTGGGCAACTAACTATGTAGTACAACAGGCATGTTACACTTCGAGGATGATTTGAAGTAAAAAGTACACTTCTGACATGTACTTGGTTAGTAAATATTTAGTACTGCTCCCGATCGTAGGTGCTACCTTGATATAGTGGTCAGGATTGGCTATTTTGATGACCTGACGGGACTATATTGGCTGGAACACATGTTCCTTTAAGTCCTACTATGCCAGGCAGATCGATTGGAGAAAGTTAGGTATGACTAATAGTAGCAACTTAAGCTGTGAAGGCAAAGTTTGCACTGCTGACTGTAAAAGAGGTGTATGGCCGTTAAGTGTTTCCCTGTGACAACGAGCATCTGCAATGATGCTAACTCACATTAGAAGAGGTCAACCCTAAAAATGTCACAGCTCACCTTGCCCCATGGATTTTCATCTTCGATGGTAAGGCTTTTCAAATAGCGGAGCTAATACGTCAGAAACCTTTCATAAAAAAAGCCGTGCGTGACCGACCTCAAGCAGTCGTCCCTTAGGCTATGTGGTCACGCTTCCAAGTCTCTAAGAATAACATCAGCCCAACTTCTTTTTCGGGTTACTTAAGAAATACCCTTTCACAGTGTGGGGATTTGGATAGTGATATACGCCTTCATACTCCTAGCAGCACATGAAAATGACTCTTAATAACTTTTCCCCAAAGTTAGCTCTTCTCGTATGCCTTTATCACTTCACGCCGTTAATGCTAATGATTTAAGTACACGAAATATTATTCCTGGTCTCTTGAAACCCTGCTTTAAACTTCATGTTAGAGCTTTTAATATTGGAACCTTGTGCTAAATAGGATAACAGTCTTCCTTAGTTAAGACTTTAGAACCGCGTGCCATAGATGAATACTGTGTATCCGAAACTCACATACAGGATGCGAGTACTGTTATTCATTTGACCTCACCTTAGCAAGTTAAGAAACCGTCGCAACTTATGCTTCATGTATCTGGAAGCCTCGTTGGTGTAGATATAGCATAAAGTTCGGAAGCGTGACTAGCTCTCTTAGCCTGGATTCCAGTAGACAATCGCTTATCCACTGTCCTACTAAACGGGACAGTAGGAATTCGCAAAGATAGTGATATTCGCCGTTGTCTCTTCTTTGTCTCTGCATACGCTTCCCACTAATTGCAGTTCAGACGAGGTAAAACACAAATTTTATAAAGAGCTTTCAAACTTTCAAAAACTGATAGAACATATGATAGTAACCGTTTACTGCAACTATGCTCAGATAACCGCTTATACTCTGGCAAACACCAACTTTAAATATATGGAAAAACATCTTTTGACTTTATGACTCCCAAAATCTATTCAACACTGTACCCAACTAGACCACATCGCTATCGACCACTGATGGATATGTTCGATAGAAGACTGCCGTTCGTACTTGAACGTATGTTTAAATTCAGACCATGCTCTAGTGTGAGCGCGTATTTGTTTGTGGCTTACTGGACGTAAGAAAGAAACATCAAAGAAACCCCTTGAAGTTCTACTTAACGATAGTATAGCCGAGAGCATGTTTCAGGTGGAGCTCGGAAAAGTTAGATAGTCATGTCATTGATGCCCATCTCGAAGCTGTGGAAAAAGCAGTGATACTTGCCAGTAAGGCAAGTTAAAAGGTTAAGGAGAAGCAGAAAGTTTCAGTATTGTCCACTAAACTGATAGATACTCGGAAACTCATTCCTCCTAGCTGTAAACAGGATGAAGAGCGAAGGCAACTTAAACACATGTTGGCAAAAAGCCTACCTAATGATCGCGAGTAGTGATGGGTATCAAAAGAGATGAAAAAAGCGGTGATGATTGGTAACAGTAAAAAAACTGTTTGGAGTTACCTAGGAAACTGGTATTAAGAGTCCGAATGAATGTAATCAAATGGGTCTCAATCGCTGATCGTCCCAGTTTGTAAGAAAGGTCACAAATCCTCTTGCGACAATCATAGGAATCAGTTTAACTAATGTAGTGTCTAAACTGTTATCCTCAGTGATACTAAAACGCCTAACTAAGGTTTGTGAAGAGCCAGACTCTAAAGCATCAGTTTGGGTTCAAACCTGAACGTGGATATATACACCACTTATTCACTCTTCGTGAAGTCGTAGGACATGACCACAGATTTTGGCGTTCCTTAATAGTTGTGTTCCCCGACCTTACGGCAACATTATACTTTGTTGATTGTGAGGTTCTATGGCAGTGTCTGTCTTGGGAGATGTACCAAAGAAGTACATTGACCTTATACAAGGTCTCTACTCGAACACTACCGGTCGAGTGAGAGCTTATGGTGATCTATCATCGGAATTCTGTACTTCAAGTGGTGTTCGTCAGGGCTGTCCACTTTCTCCGTTCTTGTTTCATTTTGTCATAGACATGTTTCTATATATAACATTATCTTCGTCCGAATTTTCAAGAGTAGACCTTCTACCAGTAAAACCGCTTGTTGACTTAGAATACGCCGATGACATAGTTCTATTTGGTGAAGACACTGACAAAACGCAGTCGTCTGACCACTTTAAGCAGCAGTACACTCATGTTCGAGATGCAACTCCCCCTCGAAATGCAAAATGTTATTTCAGGATTGGTTTACTTCGTGACCTGAACTAGTACTTAGAATAAAAACACTCCGACTGTGACCTTGAAGAATACTATCTGCTTCAATTTATGAATGTAAACCTATAAAATCACAATTTATCCACCTTACGTTGTAATTAACTGACTGTACAGTCAGTAAGTGGCCCAGTGCTTGATAGCCACTATGTTCGTAGGGTTCGAAAGCTTAATCATCTTAATTTCAGCAACTGATCTGAATCTAGGAAGGATTTGATTTTGACCAATTTGGTCTCGTGTGCTGTTACGGGTATGAGGGCGGTTGTCACCTCCCGGCTGCCCACACCGTGGAAGGTTGTTTCTTGAGGAACCTGAAAAGGAAGATAGATTAGTGTTGGTCTTAGAGACCTGGGTGCGTGACCGCAGAGTCCAAGGGACAACTGCTTGAGGCCGGTCACGCACGGCCTTTTTATGAAAGGTTTTTTGAGTATTAGCTCCGCTCTTGAAAGCCCTTAGTGGGCACCCTTACCGCCATAGACGGAAATCCGTGAGGTAGAGTGAGGTGTGACATTTTTAGGGTCGACCTTTTCTAACCCTTCCTTCCTTGTGAGAAGGCAGCATCGCTGACGATGCTGGTTGTCCGAGGGAAACACCTTACTGCTGTCACACCCCTCTGCAGTCAGTCAGCAGTACGACTTCGCCCTCAGACCTTGAGTAGCTGCTTTTAGTCTCATCGTTCTCCAATCGACCTGCCTGGCATGGTAGAACCTTCAGGAACATATGTTCCAGCCAACAATATAGCTCGCTTGTGTCATCACGATAGGCAAGCCCGACCACCATGTCAAGGTAGCAGCTTCGGTCGGGAATTTCAGAAACTGAGTAGAGTAAATATCGTTAGTACACACTTTTGATCCGACTTCCGATTTTATTGATCATATTATCGTTTCTTTTTTTTCGTTTACAGCAAACAACCGATCATGAAGCTGCTGGTGGTGGTGGTGATACACCGAAATCTACCAATAATAATAAAATTAGTCGTCTCTCTAAAGATCATAACACCATTGTTAATAATACTACTAATAATAAAAATACTATTACAATTAGTAATGCCAAGAAATTATCATTAAAACAACAAAAATCTAAACTGGGACCAATTATAGAACAGTCAAATAATAATTTTCAACAAAATGAAACATTCTTTGATATTCCATTGACAATTCCACCTCCTCCTGCATCACGTACTGCTGCTGCCGCTGCCACTGGCGCCGCTGGTGCTAATACTAGTACGCTGACGACGACGACGCCAACGACAACGAATCAAAAGAAAAAATCCACTATGAATCGTTTATTTGTCTGTCCATTATGCGGTGATAATGCATTGTCTAGTCTACGTGAACGTGATGAACATTTACAATCATCACATAATGGTGAATTGGTGTTTCCTTGTCAGGTTAGTGATTGTGATTAGTTAGTTTGTTTATGTATAGATAAGTGTGTTACGCCTTGTACGTAGTAAACACGTCAACTTTTGATATATATACTTGATATACTATTATTACGAGTTATTTACCTTAGTCAGAAAACACGAGAGAGAGAGAGAGGATCGGGGATCCGGTTGGTGACACGACATACTACTCTCAAATCCGATTATCCCAACCCCCATATTGAGTAAATAATAATAAGATGACGTGATATAAAGTAGAAAATGTATTCTACAAGCATTCAGAAAGTACGAGGTCCGAATCCAGAAGAGGCTAAGGATCCCGGACTAGGGATCCGGTACCGGGTCCTGATCCTGGTCATAAAACGTTACAGATAATGCGTATTTATACATTTTGGTCGAATAGAAAACAGCATAGAAGTCTGTGACATTGATAGTCAGGACAACCAATAAGAGACAACATTTGAAGTGACAATGATAGTCAGGACAACCAATAAGAAACAACATTGGTTCACGTGACATTGATATCTACTAGGACGACCATAAAATTGACCAGTAGGAATTAACCAATAAGAATTGACCAATAATTCTCTTAGGATACTGGATGAATATCCTAACAATAAGAACCTTATGTGCATATGGTTTCTCACATAGAACTTCAGATTTGATTGTGGTCTCGTGTGCTGTTAAGGGTGTGAAGTCAGATGTCACTTCCTGGCTGCCCACACCATGGAAGGGGATTTTTTTTGAGGAACTTGAAATAGAAGTTGGATGAGCGTTGGTCTTAGTGGCCTGTGTGCGTGACCGCAGAGTCCAAAGGACAACTGCTTTAGGCCGGTCTCGCACGGCGTTTTTTTTGGGGACATTGTATAGTGTTAGCTCCTCTCTTTACATGGCTTTACAGCCGGAGATGGAAATCTGTGCGGGTAAGGTGAAGTGTGACATCCCTACCTTTCGTTGGGCAGCGTCGTTGCAAATGCTGGTTGTTTAAGGGAAACAAACACCTTACTGCTGTCATACCTTGCTACAGTCAGGAGTACGACTTCGCCCTCAGATCTTAAGTTGCTGCTTTCCTATCGACCTGGCTGAAATGGTAAGACTTAAAGGTTGTTTCAGCCAATATAGCTCGTGATAGGCAAGCGCCGACCACCACGTCAAGGTAGCAGCTGCATAACATGACAGAAATCCATGAAGTCATCGACAAGTTAACTGCGTCATGTTGGTAGATGTTGACTACCTGGTTGGGGTCCGCGAGACGAAAGTCACCAATGGTTAGAGACCTTGAACGCGACATGGCTCAAAATCGTTTGCAATGGCTTAAGTACATCCATTCATTGTGTTCTCTCAAATCCTAATCTTCTAAATTCCTCTTCATCTCTTTCTTAATTTATCCCACTGAATTATACTTCTTAAGTCATATCGTCGAAACCTAGTGTTCTCCAATTACTGCTAATACTTCTATTATTGCTATCACTGTTGGATTTGAACTGACAGTTGCGTCTCTGTGCTGATGGAATATAGCAACCTGAACTTATGTACTCATGTACAAAGTTCTACGTTGTAACTGACTGACTCATTGAACATTCACACTGTAGTTATTCAGTGTCCAATCTCTGTTCATCAATGATTGATTTTAAGTTGATTCATTCAAGGATTAATTATTCTTTTTTTAAAAATTTATATTTCATCTGTGAAATGATAAACCTATCATAGACTTGTATATTTTCATCTTTTACTAACTGTTATCTTCTCAATGTCGGCTTTTTCTTACAATCAAGTATTCAGATTAACATGAACGTCATCTGTCTCTCTCTCTCTGTATACTGAACCGATTTCTGAAAATTCTATGTCAAATGTTTACTCACTGTTAGCCTATTACACATAGTAGATTTATGCACGATATAATTTTGTAGGTTATATGTATCTGTTGGCTTACTAATTGGAGAATTTAAAGGCTCTACTACTCTGGGATTTGAAGTGACAATTGCATCTCTGTGCTAATGTGGTATAACAACTTGAACTGATGTATGTACGTACGTACGTACGAAGTTCTATGTTGTGGTTGTTGTTGACTGACTGACTGACTGACTGATTTTAAAGGACTTTTTTTAAATTCATTTTGTAACAACTTGACTTAATCGGCGTGGTTCCATTTTCTCTCTATCTCAAGACAAGTTACAACTTCTCTAGAAGAGGCTATCAGTGTTCAAAGTTATTAACCTTTCTAATCTGTATGCTAGAGCATTTGTTCAAACACATCTGTTATCTTTTATTCAAATTCCATTCACAACAATATATAGTATGAACTTGTCTACTGAAAAAGAATGTATAGACAAGACCTGTTTAAAGCTATTGATTAAGTTTTTTCGTTCTAATGTGTTCTAACCGAACTAACTGAATAGTTGAGTTTAGAATATGTTATACGTGATTGTTAGGAATTTATCGTGTTCTCTTCTTAACTTTTGCTAATTTACTCTGTGGTATATTGTGTGATCAAATGATGTAACACCTAACTAACTACCTGGCGCCTATCAATCAACAACAACGTAGAACTTCATAAGTACGTACGTCAGTTCAAGTTGCCGTACCGTATAAGCACGCAGAAACTCAATTGTCAATTCAAATGTCATAGTAGTAGAGGTAGCAAAAGTATTAGCAGTAATCCGAGAGATTAGGATTCGAAGATATTATTCAAGAAGTAGAATCTAGTGGAATGAACTTAAAGAGAAAAAGATAAAGGTGATGAGGAATTCTGAAGGTTATGATTTGACAGAACACAAAGCAGTGAATACACCTTCGCCGTTGCAAACGGCACTGAGCCATGTCATTCAGGGTCTCTAATCATCGATTCATATTGTCTCGCGGGCCCCAACCAGGTATTCGACATCTACCAACATGACTTAGTCCAGTTGTTAGTGACTTCATAGCGCCTATCAAATATATATTGGAATTGTGTGTGTGTGTGTGTTCTTTTTACCTCAGACCATCATTTCGAAATCCATGAAATCACTGACAAGTAGACTGAGTCATGTTGGTAGATGTAGACTACCTGGTTGAGGTCCACGAGACAAAAGTCACCGATGGTTAGAGACCTTGAATGACATGGCTCATAATAGTTTGCAATGGCGGAGGTGCATCCACTCTTTGTGTTCTGTGAAATTCTAACCTTCTGAATCCCTCATAATCTCTATTTTTCTCCTTTTAAATTTATCTTACTGAATTATACTTCTCGAATCATATCTTCGCTCCCTAATCTTCTGCATTACTGCTATTACTTCTACTATTGCTATATCACTGTTGGATTTGAACTGACAGTTTCGTCTCTGTGCTGATGTGGTATGGTATGGCAACCTGAACTGATGTACTTATGTACGAAGTTCTGCGTTGTATCTGTCTGTCTGTCTGTTTGTCTATCATTTCAGAAGTAAATGTGATCTGTTCTTGGCACCTTTTGTCTATCAAACAAATCGATTTTCAAAAGTTTCTTCTCCTTTTTTTTTTTTCAAAAAAAAGCATATTACCCTTTTACATTAGTTTATTTTATTCCTTGTATGTTTTTTTTCCCCCGGATAAACATAACAAATACAGATTTGTGGAATGGCCTATCCACTCTATATTGCTCTACGTCGACATGCTGCCCTACAACATGATTCCGATTTTGATACAGTACGTTATGGACCATCAGATTTATTGGATTGTGAACCAATCGAATGTCCAGAATGTCATCTTGTAGCTTTTCAAGATTCACTTGTATTAAAACTACATATTAGTTTAGTACATAAGAAATTACAACAAACCATGACACTTAATTCTAGTGATGATTCACAACCAATTGAAGGTAAATGAGCATGATTACTATTATTTTTAATGACTAATTTATGGTCATTTAAGTAATATATTTTCGGTTATAATATATTACCCTAATGCAAGTTTGTATCGCTGACTGTTTCCCCCTAAGCTCTATATGTTTTTCCTGCATCGGATAATTAAATCAGTTCAAGTTGTCACAAGTTAAACAAAATTCATAGTGTAGGAAGTTGAAATATATAAGTGAAGTCTTTAGTTTTGACGGTTCTGAAGTGGACCTTATACTAGGAGACACGCTTGCTGACTTATAATATGTTGATGACATAGTTCTATTCGGTGAAGACGCTGACAAAATACAGAGTCTTCTGAGTAACCTAAGCAACAATGCAAGCATGTTCGGGATGTGGTTTTCCCCCTCGAAATGCAAAATGTTGCTTCAAGATTAGGTTGCATCGGCACTTGAACTAGTGATACGGAGTGAAGTAATCAGGTGTGTAGACCGCTTCAATTATCTTGGGAGTCTCGTCAGTGCTGATTCCTTGTTGACTGACAAAATCTCAGCACGGACACAGAAAACTCGATTGGCTTTTGCCAACCTGCGTCACTCATAACGTAGGCGAGATATCGGTTTGTTGACTAAAGGACGGATGTGCTGCTCAGTAGTTCGTCCCGTCCTACTATACATATGCGAAACATGGCCAGTGAGAGTAGACGATATTCGTAGATTGCTTGTCTTCGATCATAGGTGTCTCCGAAGCATTGTTCGTATATCGTGGGACAACCGAGTAAGCAATGCTGTCGTTTGGAAACGAGTACTAGATAAGGATGGCAGATCAATAGATGAAGTGGTGAAACTCCACCAGTTGAGGTGGTTGGGACATGTGTTACAAATACGCTTACATATAGCCATTCGTGTATAGCTCCTCCTACTCACTTCCTTTTAGTGAGAAAGAGAGAGAAAAGCGAACATCCAACTTGGGCTTAAGCTTGGTTGCTGAATATGGAAGATCTACACATAAGCCAGACCATTAGAGCACATGGGCTCCAGTATCCGTACTGAACAAACAGTGTATGAACCTAACTTTGAACATCATCGGCTACTGTAAGACTGGGTTTCCTAATGTTGCTTCACTGCCTCGTATATAAAACTTTTAGGTCAAAGTCTCGGAGAACGTTCATCTAAAAAGTCACTTGTTTGGATTTGGGCAGCCAGTTCACACACAAATTCAATAATTTGTGTGTCATAAATTTCTAGGCACCTCTTCGTATCAGTAATTATTCAGTCAGTCAGTAACAACGTCGAACTTCGTACGTACGTACATCAGTTCAAGTTACCATAACATATTACCACAGACAGATGGAATTGTCAATTTAAATCCCATAGTAGTAGTAGTAGAGGTAGTAGAAGTATAAGCAATAACCGGCAAGATCAGGGTCCGAAGATATTATTATTCAAGGAATATAATTCAGTGACATAAATTTTAAGAGAAAAGAAATAAAAAAGCTGATGAGGAATTCAAAAGATTAGAACTTGATGTTTACTGCTTTCCAATCGATCGATGAGATGTTTGACAGCATAATTTGTAGTTTTGCACAACGGGATGGGATCGTTAACCTTCCATGCTCAACCCTCCCCCTTCTACCTGGGCTTATAGCTCCGGGCAGTAACCCTAGAGAGGGGCTCCAGTATCTATTTATTTACAAAAATTCTATCATTAAAAGTCATTGTCCATTATATGTATTTACTACTTTTGTAATGTGATTGGTTGTTTTTTTCTTTTAAATTACCCCCCCCCATTAAGATTCCGATTTAGACACAACGTCGAAATCATTAAAAACCACCAATAAAACCAAATCGAGTTCATCATCATCTATAAATCAAAAGAAACCGACCAACTTGAAAACAATTCGTCGTCGTTCCACTGCTACAATGAATCGTTCACGGACTAATCAATCAAAGTCGGCGACCAAATCAAAAATCAAACGAAAACTATCGATTATAAGTGGTGGTGGTGCTGGTGCTGGTGGTGGCGAGTCAGAAATCGATACGAATCGATTACCGAATGATGTGACATCATCATCATCGTCATTACAAGATGGTAGTAGTAGTGAATTTGAACGTATGCTAAGCTCCATTGATGGTACATTTGCTCCAGCTTCTTGTCGATATTGTCGTCTTGAAGTGGATAATTTGAAAGAATTACATCTTCATTTAGAATTGGTAAGTTATGATGAACTTGTCGCTGAAATTGATTACTCCGAATGGTTGTGTTGACAAGCTATGTTTTTTATTGTGGTGTAGTAGTAGGAGTAGGTTGAAAGAAAGCTAGGGGGCTAGCTAGTCAGGAAGCTAGTAGTGATGCTTCATCAGTTGAGGTGGTTGGGATATGTGTTACGTATACCCGACCACCGACTGCCTCGACGAGCTATGTTTTGTGGTGTAGGAGTAGGTTGAAAGAAAGCTAGGGGCTAGGGGACTAGCTAGCTAGGAAGCTAGTAGTGACGCTTCATCAGTTGAGGTGGTTGGGATATGTGTTACGTATACCCGACCACCGACTGCCTCGACGAGCTATGTTTTGTGGTGTAGGAGTAGGTTGAAAGAAAGCTAGGGGCAACTAAATCAACACATGGTAGAAATCCATGAAGTCATCGACAGGTGGACTGAGTCATGTTGGTAAATGTAGGCTATCTGGTTGGGGTCCGCGAGACGAAAGTCACCAATGGCTAGAAACCTTGAATGACATGACTGAAAATCGTTTGCAATGGTGCAGATGCATCCACTCTTTGTGTTCTTTTGAATTCTAACCTTCTGAATCGCTCATAATCTCTATCTTTCTCTTTCTAAATTTATCTCACTGAGCTATATTTCTTGAACCCTAATATTCTCAATTATCGCTAATACTTCTCTATCGTTACCACTATGCGATTCGAACTGACAGTTGCATCTCTGTGCTAAACTGTGGTATGACAACCTGAACTTATGTACTCATGTACGAAGTTGTACGTTGTAACTGACTGACTGATTAACAATCTGATGTATATTTATCAAAAGCTAGTTGAAATCATAAACATGAAACAACTTCATGTGAAACCTTTTATACCTATTCGCATCACGTTTTTGCATAAGAAACCAATCTCGTCTTTTGATCCTGTGCGCGGGGGGGGGATGGAGCGTGTATACTGTAAAACAATCCATTTTGTGACTGTCAAACATGCTCTATGCAATCAGAAGACATATGTAGATTGAATATTCTAGACCATAGGTATCTTTGAAATATTGTTCATGTTTTGTGAGATGACTTAAGTAAGTAGGGTAGATGGTAGTGTTTGATGTAAGGTACTGGGGTAAAAGTTGTGAATCCACTTCTAAAAATGTAGATCTTCACCAATTACGATGTACAATGTTAACTGGTGTACATTTAGTTTGAGAATAACCGAACGGTTACATGCGATCATTTTAGAGAAGTAAGTCCTAAACTCACTGCATATTCGTATTGAAAGGTATATTATTCACAAAATCAAGAAGCAAACGTTTGTCGCTTAAACTGGGTCAGTTAGCATGGAGATTCTACTTGGGGGAGTTGAAAAACCCTAGTTTCAAACCAATGTCGCATATGTGCCACCAAGGGACTGCTGCATCTCGCCTAACCTCCCTTCATTGTCTTTTAAAGTAGACTTGTAGGTCAACGGCTCGAGTATTAGTTGTTGTAAGGAAATCACCTGCTTTTCTAGTTGGGCAATTTGGATAGTGACTCCTTGTATCAATAATTATTTTTACACATTTGAAATCATTAATCAATCATCATTGTTAGACCACCGTTAGAAACCTGGAAGCACTGGACGGCCGTTTCGTCCTAGTATGGGACTCCTCAGCAGTGCGCATCCACGACTCCTGCTCCTCGCAGGATTCGAATCCGGGACCTTTGGCATTGTAGGCGAACGCCTTACCATCGGACCACTGGGCCGGCATTCAACGGTGTTAATGTCTAACTCTGATTGATCTAGGGTCTAACAATGATGCACATTTTTTTTTTGAAACCATGAATCGATCAATGTTAGACCAACACCATTAACAGAAACCTGGAACAAGCACTGAAAGACGGCCGTTTTGTCCTGGTATGGGACTCACCAGTGACAGTGCACATCCACGACTCCTGCACTTCGCAGGATTCGAACCCGGGACCTTCGGTATCGTGCGCGAACGCCAGACCATCGGACCACTGGGCCACTGGGTCCATTCAGTCAGTCAGTCAGATGCAACGTAGAACTTCGTACGTAAGTACATCAGTTCATGTTGCCATACCACATTAGCACAGAGATGTAATTGTCAATTCAAATCCAATAGTAGTAGAGGTAGTTAAGGTATTAGAAGTAATCGGAGAGGTGAGAACTAGAAGATAATATTCAAGAAGTATGATTCAGTGAGAAAAGTTTATAATGTCAAAACTAGAGTTGTTGAAGAACCCAGAAGATTAGGATTTGAGAGAACACAAGGTATAAGTGCACCTGCGCCATTGCAAACGATTTACAGCCATGTAGTTCAATGTCTCCAACCGTTGGTGACTTTCGTCTCGCGGACCTCAAGCTGGTAGCCTACATCTACCAACATGACTCAGTCCACTTGTCAATGACTTCATGAATTGCTGCCATGTTTTGATTTGGCCGCCCCTAACTTTCTTCCAACCTATTCCTACACTACATAACAAAGCTCTTCGAGGTAGTCAGTGTTTAGGCATACGCAGCACATGTCCCAACTACCTCAACTGATGAAGTTTCACTACTTCATCTATTGATCTGCCATTCTTACCTAGCACCCGATTCCTAATAACATCGTTGCTCACTCAGGTGTCCCAGGATATTATACGAGTACAGTGCTTCGCAGACACCTATGATCGAAAACCAGTAGTAGTAACCTACGAATATCTCCTGTACTCTCACTGGTCATGTTTCACAGCCATCAAGTAAAACGGACTGGGTCCAGTGCTTGTTCCAGGTTTCTTCTAATGGTGGCGGTCTAACATTGATCGATGCATGGGTTTCAAAAATGTATCAATATTTCTGTTGTCATTGTCAGTTTCGTTTCTTGATTATTATTATTATCAATGATCAATAGAAATTTTTGTTGTTTTTTCTACTCCAGGAACATTTAAATCCAGATAATGATATTGAACAGTTAGGTTGTCAAGCATGTGGTCGAGTATTCTTTGGTTCAGGTGGTCGAATTGATTTGATTGGACATTTACGTGCGCTGCATCAAGATGATTATTTACAAAATGTATTAAAATGTCCACGTGTTGAGAAGGCAGGACAAGATACTACTACAACTACACCCAATGATGTCAACGATACTACTACTACTAGTCATCATGAATCCACCAAGTCATCATGTAAAGCACATTTCTCTTCACCACGTCTACGTCAATTGCATATTTCTATGGCTAATAACAATATCAGCAACAACAACACTAGTAGTAGTGGTAGTACATTGTCCAACTCAACATTTACCTGTCCTATTGTATTTAATGAAAATACATTTTCATTAGATTCAATTAAAAATTTAATATTGAACACAGAAATTGCAGCTGATCAAAGTGGTATTATGATATTGGCATTTTGTTGTCCAAATTGTTCACGTCTATTTGTTGGAGATAATGTGCATACTAGGTAAGTAAGTGAATGAGTGAGTGAGTGAGCAGTTGTTGTTGACTCAATTTTTTAAAGCCATTGTCTAGTAGAAACAGAACTTAGCCATCGGCCTTACTGCGTTATGTCCCGTGAGATTAACATTCATCATCAGTGGTACATAACATAACTCGAAATTCTCTGTAACGGTCCGAAAATTCTCGATCGTAGCTGCCAGCTGAGCATGGTGGTCAAGATTAGACTGATTTCACTTTGATGGTCGCAAGAGGACTTTCGTCCTTTCTTATAAATTAGGACAATTAGTGATTGAGACTAGTCAGACTCGACCGTGGCTGTCGCCTTGACTTGGTGGCCGCGCTTGTCTATCGTGATGACCCCCAATCGAGCTATATTGGCTGGAACGGATGTTTCTGTAGGTTCTACCATGTGAGGCAGGTCAATCGTTAAACCGTATGATTGACAGCAGCAACTCAAGGTCTGAGGGCGAAGTCGTACTGCTGATTGTAGAGAAATGTGACGTCAATAAGGTTTTTGCCTCGGATAACCAGCATCTAAAGCGATGCTGCCTTCTCACAAGGAAGGGGAAGGGGTTAGAAAAGGTCGGCCCTAAAAATGTCACACTTCACCGTACCTCACGGATTTCCGTATCCGGCGATAAGATCTTTTAAACAAGAGCGGAGCGAACACTTTAAAAACTTCCCATAAAAAGGCCGTGCGTAACTGGTCACAAGCAGTTGTCCCTTGGACTTTGTGGTGACGCCCTTAGGTCTCTAAGATCAACACTAATCCGATTTCCTTTTCAGGTACATCGCTTATATCTATAAACTAGTAGAAAACAGATGTAACACCTTTTATCTATTGTCTACAACCATATAGTATTAAATAACATGCATCGCACTATTCAGCCATTTATGATGTCGGGGATGGAGACTCCATGGCGTTAGTCATTCTCAAACATCGTTCTTTATAATATTGGGAAGTTTCATTTTTGGTCGGAACGCATAAACTTAGATGACGTTTAGGATTCAAAGCATGTGAACGATTTAAAAATTCCATAATTCCACTCAACACTGAGATAGAAAGTTTTGTAGATAAAAAGATCGTTAGTAGAAAATGACACACCTTTTTTAAGAATAGCGACAACTATCGAGTTATTCTACGTTGTCGGAACACTGTCTAACTACCGAACAGTTGTAAACAACTCATTCAGTCTCATAGTAAGAAGGTCACCACTATCTTTAAAAAGTGCCGGAGGTAAGTCATTTGGGCCTGATGATTTGTAGCGCCCCAAGGGTTGGATTTCCTTACGGACTTCTGCGTCGTTAGATGTAACAGTCTTCACTGGCTATGGGGGACAGTACAATCTGATCGATATTGTTGGGACAGCAGACCAGCTAAAGTGTTCCTCGAAGAACTTGTCCAAGACATCGGTGGATTTTATGGACTAGTATTCTATCAGCTCCACAGATTGCTTCATCCACACCAGACTTCTTGGCGCCAATGGCTTGAATAAAATGAAAAAAATTACTAGACGCATCTGCTATTTCCAACTCGTTAGCACGCTCCGACCACCAGACTTTTCGGTCCTTAAGCAACTTTTTCACTTCCTGCTTACATAGCAGTCTTCTTTTGTCGTCAAACTCACTGTTACCCAGAGTACACCGACGTGCCGCAGCGAGTTGTAAGGAGCCTGTAGAAACTCATTGCTTATAAGCTGGACGTTTCTCAAAGCTGCAAGCGACTTTACTCGCCATTTTTATGGCATCGTGTAATTGCATTCAGTGCCCATATCTATAATTTTCAGTGGGTTAATAGCTAGCCTTGAACTTAGGTCGGTTTAATATTTAGTCGCTGCAGAAGCTACAACCAATTTACTGACATTAATCCTTTTAAGGCGATTAATTTGTTGGCCACTGAAACGTAAGATAAGCGTAGCTCAAACAAGGACGTGATCAGATTCCGGACAAGTACTCCAAAAAGAAGTAGGAGTCTTGTACATTACCATGTCAGTGATAGCTGATCGCGATATGATCAAACTGAGTCCAAGCTTGAGGTACAAAGAGAGGACACCAGGTATCAACATCGTTGATTATTGTTCAGCGAGTTAGTGCTGATTATGGTCCATGTAATGTTGTAATGTACGATTGTACTTATCTGACCTGCGACCGAAAAGTTCGTATTTATTGTTCACCCAAACGACTCTGTTATTTATCAGAAATAGACGGTTATTTGAGCACAACTGCAACAGACAGTCGCCATCATCTGTTCAATCAGCTACGACACCATAAGATCCACAAAAGTGTCTTTCAGTTTCACTTAGTTAACCTATTTGAGCATTAAAATCACCAGCCACTGAGCACCTAGATTTTTGAAGGTTTAAAAGCTCTCTCTATAGAATTATTGTTTTACCTCATTTGGGCTGCAATCAGTGGGACCGTACGCATTCACAACGAATAGGCAACGGTGAGTGTCCCTATCTTTCCGAGTTCGTATTGTCCTGTTTAGTAGGACAGTGGACAAGCGATTGTCTACTTAGATTCAGTTGGAGAGGGCCAGTTCTGCTTTAGAACTCAATTTTATACCTAGTCTTGCGTATGCCTAACCACCGACTGCTTCGATGAGCTTTGTTTTGTAGTGTAGTAGTAGGTTGGAAGAAAGTTAGGGGCGACCAGACCAAAACATGGCAGAAATCTATGAAGTCATTGACAGTCATGTCGGTAGTTGTCGACTACCTGGTTGGGTTCCGCGAGATGATAATAATCGATGGTTAGGGATCATGAACGACATGGCTCTAAATCGTTTGCTATGGCGCAAATGCATCTACTCTTTGTGTTTTCTGAATTCGTCATCTCTATCTTTCTCTTTCTAGACTTTTCTCACTGAATCATACTTCTTGAATAATATCTTCTAATCCTAACCTCTCCGATTATTTCTAATACCTTAACTACCTCTACTACTCTATTGGATTTGAATTGACAATTATATCTCTGTGCTGATGTGGTATGGCAACATGAACTGATGTACTTACGTGCGAAGTTCTATGTTCCAATTAGCTGACTGAATCACGCTTCAGAACTCTGTGCTGTATCTACGCCAGTGAGGCCACAGGAAGCAGAATTGGGACTTCCAGATTCACGGAGTGTAAACCCAGAAGTTTCTTTATCTTAACAAGGAGAAATCAGTTGTTTGATCCTGTTCGGGTCCTGTATGCTCGTTTCTTGGAGGCAGCATACATACATCGATGGTCTGACCACCACCACCAACCATATCAAGGTAGCAGCACCAGCTACGATCGGATATTAAACCAGACTGTATAACTAATTTTAAAAACAATTTCAACTATATTTTTATCTTTTCATTTTTCAGATTTGAATCACATCGTAGTACATGTGAAACGGCAGTCACAACTACCACCAGTGATAATGTGGAAGAAGAAGAAGAGTCAATACATCCTATGGAATCTGATCAAAGTGTTGCTTCTAGTCCTCCAGCAGATAATGCTGAAGTTTCTGAATCACTGCATTGTTCCACTGTCGATTTACCTTTAGAATCTCAGGAAATTTCTAAAACACCAAATAACAATGATGATAACGATGTATGCGTTGCCGAGAATCAAGCTACATGAATGAATTACTCTCAACATTGTCTTTGTGTGTGTGTCTGTGTGAGTGCGTGCGTGTGTGCGTCCGTTTACATTCTCTCCGCTCCTCCGCCGCCGCCGTCGTCGTCGTCGTCTCATATATTCCTTATTCACAAATGACATTGATGTATATTTTCTCATACCCTATATGAATTATTATTTTTTTCTAATTATTCTTATTAAATAATAAACATTGAATTCTGAATGCATATTTTTAAAACAAAATTATTAATTATGATTATTATTATTATTATTATTATTATTGGTATTATTATTATTGTATGTCTTTTTTTCTCTCTCTCTCTGTGTGTGTGTGTGTACTTTGTCATTTAAATTATCCTATCATCACATTCATGTTGAAATTAGGCGAATAGAGTTGACCATCTCCTCCTACTCCTATTTGTACAATTCTCTATTTCATTTTATCATATAATTAATTAATTGTGTATAATATTTTTGAAAAATAAGATTATTTATGTATATGTATACATACATACATAGTTTATATTTATGTCATTTGTGAGAGTAGAAGATATTCGTAGGTTATTACTGGTTTTCGATCATAGGTGTCTTCTCAGAAGCACTGTGCTCGTATAATATCCTGGGACGACCGAGTAAGCGATGCTGTTATTAGGAAACGGGTACTAGGTAAGGATGACATATCAATAGATGAAGTACTAGTGAAACTTCATCAGTTGAGGTGGTTGGGACATGTGTTGCGTATGCCTAACCACCGACTGTCTCGACGAGCTTTGTTTTGTAGTGTAGGAGTTGGTTGGAAGAAAGTTAGGGGCGGCCAAACCAAAACATGGCACAAATCCATCAAGTCATTGACAAGTGGACTGAGTCATGTCGGTAATTGTCGACTACCTGGTTGGGGTCCGCGAGATGATAATAATCGATGGTTAGAGACCTTGAATGACATGGCTCATTTATTCGTTGTGTTCTCTCAAATCCTAATCTTCTAGATTTTTCGACACCTCCAGTTTTGACTTTCTAAACTTTTCTCATTGAATCATACTTCTTGAATAATATGTTCTAATCCTAACCTCTTCGACTACTTCTAATACCTTTACTACCTCTTCTACTATTAGATTTGAAGTGACAATTGCATCTCTGTGCTAATGTGGTATAACAACTTGAACTGATGTACGTACGTACGTACGAAGTTCTACGTTGCATCTGACTGACTGACATTTGTGACTACAGAATTTGTTCCTCTACTCGTTCCGTCAACTTTGATTTGTATAGTTCGGTAGTTAAACTAACTTTTTCTAGATACCTAAAGTTTAGTCTGAAGTTGTGGACATGGGAAATACACTGGAAGGAAACCTCTCGGAGTTCTATTTAATGACAGACACTAAAGCTAAAAATATATTTCGGATCAACTAGACATATAGTTAGTTCGACAACTATGTAGTAGTAAGTGATGTCCACCGCAAGGTAGCTTGGAAAGATATTTTGGAAACAGCAGTGATATTTACCAGTAAGTTAAACCCCGAAATATTAGGAAGAAGCAGTGGATCTTAGTGGCATCCAATCTTGCTATAAATATGATGAGTGTCGGAGTCAGCTTAAACACAGGCCGGTAAAAAGCATACGCAACGATCGCGAACACTGGCGGGTAGTAAAGGCGAAAGAGGTGGAGGTGGCGGTAGGTAACCATCGACAACTGATTGGAATTACCAAGTAAACTGGTACTAGGAATCCGATTGTTAGTGAAACTATTTCCGAAAAAGATGGGATTATTATCCTTTCTAAATTTAGGAGAGTGAATCGATGGGCTGAACACTTTAGGGAGCAGTTCAACTTTTGTTACCTATGATCCTCAGTCAACCTTAATGAGGTTGAAAAGACTACAGGCAATCTAAGGCTAGGGAGAGCAGCGGGTAATGATAGATTGGTGCTTAAGATTTTTAAGGATGGTGGTCCAGCTTTAGCAGCTAGATTGACCGAGATCTTAGGCAGAATCTGGGAACTGGACATAATCCCATCCGACTGGTCTCAATCACTCATTGTCCCAATTTATAAGAAAGGACAAAAGTCTTCTTGTGTAAATCACAGGGGAATAAGTCTAACTAATATAGTATCTAAAATTTTGGCCTCAATAATACTTCGGCGCTTAACGAAAGCTCGTGAAGAGCAGACTCGAGAAAACCAGTCTGGTTTTCGACCTGGACGTGGTTGTATGGACCACATCTTCACACTAAGATGTGGTGTGGCAATCCCTGATTGTCCCAATTTATAAGAAAGGACAAAAGTCCTGTTGTGGCAATCACAGGGGAATCAGTCTAACTAATATAGTCTCTAAATTGTTAGCCTCGATTATACTTAGACGCTTAACTAAAGTTGTAAAAAGCCCAGTTTCAATCTTGTTTAATTTTGTCATAGACATGCTCCTAGATGTAACATTAACTTCGTCTGACTTTTCAAGAGTGGACCTTCTACCAGGAGTAACAAATAAGCTAGGGGTGACCAAACCAAAACATGGCACAAATCCATGAAGTCACTGATGCCTGGGCTGGGCCATGTTAGTAGGTGTAGACTAACTAACTATTCAGGGTCCGTGAGACGGTGGTTAGAGATTTCGAACGACATGGCTCGAAATCGTTTGCAATGACGCAGACGCGCCCATCCATTGTTTTTTCTCAAATTCTAACCTGATTTCTTCGCTTACTGGAATATACTTCTCAAATTCTATCTTCATACCCTAATTTTTTCCATAACTGCTAATACTCTAAATTGCTGTAATACTATGGAGTTTGAAATGACAATAGCATTTCTGTGCTAATGTGATATGGCAACTTGAACTGATGCAAGTACGTACAAAGTTCTACGTTGTAGCTGACTGACAAAAAGAATGTAAGCTCGAAAGTCTGCCCTACAGCAAAAGAGTTAGGCCTTAAAAAATCGGTGTCAAACAAATTTATTATTAAATAAATTCCCCTTCAATTGACAAGGTAAATTTTACATTGATTTGCAGGAGGACCGGCGCTGCCCATGTGTTAACACTATAATGTGAAAAGTACAGCTCCATCCCACAGTGCAACTACACAGGTACTTGACACCCTGGTAGTCAATTAAAGTGCTAGTGCCTACAAGTATGTCGTGACGTGCTCAAGCGAAAGCTTGAATACCAATGATGGTAGATACAGCGTCTGCCCTTTCAAGAGGCGGTCATACCTATCTGTATACCAAGGGATGCATGGGTAAACACTCGTGTTTCTAGTGTCGATGTAATGTAAACCTGACCTACGGAGTAAATGGGTTGACGTGTAAGTCTCGAGACATGAGGTGAAAACTCATGTGTTTCTGAAATGTATGCAACATACACACTTTCTCCTGGTGCGACACCTACGCGGGAAGATCCTCACAGTACCGATTCCTCACAAAAAACTTCCATGCAGTAAATTTGTGCGCTTCGAAGAACTACTTTTCCCAGGAATGCTACTTGGTATCTCAAAACAAGTCCTTACCAACTCCTATGGCTGGAATACCACCGCATCACAAATTCCGGCACAACGGTGTGCCACAAAAAACCCAATTAAATCAGAGCTAACATCTCCATCGTTTAGTATGGAAGGTCCACTAGGTAGTGTTCGACGTCTATAGTTCGGGATACTAGGCATACGAACCTATTTTAGTAATTATGGAACTGATTCTTGTGACATTACCTCATTGCAATGTGTATTGAGCCCACAAGTAGGTGGTTTGGCGACTGGTCTCTTAAGAAAACCACATACTTATGTTTGAACACATAAGGTGGTGTTATAGTTCCTAATGCTTTAGTATTCTCAGACAACAATTCACTTGAGACGTTCTCCCCAAATCAGAACACGGTTGAACAGGAAATAGAGATTATATTCCAATAACAAGTTTGGAAGGAAGACAGAAGGTTCAAAGGAAAAATAAGTTAGTATATTTATAGTTTTGCTTACATGAGGAGATTAAGGAATATTCCCTTAGTATCGGCTAGCGCTGATCGGATACGAAAGAGCCAATCAGCATGCAACAACAACGCAATCATGCTTTAATCCAATCTATGCTTCACTAATACCTCCGCTTTGAGCAGATTCGTAGGATCCGGTGCTAGGGTCCAATTGCTTCCTGTGTGCCTTGACACGAGCTGTCTGCTTTGTACGTGCCATATCTGCGAACAACCGTCTTTAAGCTTATGATGTCCATTGAGCTGTTTCTCCATCGATAGGTTTCGTTGAGGCTCAAGAACAGTATATGGTACAGGACATCTCAGATGAAAATTGGTTTGGCATCTGATTTCACTAATAAGTGAGCTTTCAACAACGTAAAATCCCATCTATGTCCCAATAACAGGTGGTATCTCAACCTCATGTTAAAAATATATCCCATGAAAAGTCACATTTCATTCACTCAACTTACCCATACGAGTGATACACTTGTGGTGGTGTTTCGTTCTCTGAGCTGGATGTTGTTTTGGTTGTGGAGCTTTCATTATTCTTCTACTGAACAACATCATCAGCGCAAACTTAAGATGATAGAAGTGAAGCATTCGAATTTCTCCACATGTTTGACCTGTATCTTGTTCTGCTAACCTCGATCTTGATTGGTTGCGCTGTTGACTTTAAGTCTGTCGTTGTTTGCACCATTGTTTTGATTGTATCCCCCTTTTGATATGTTTCTTGGTCTTATATCCCCAATGATTTTTCTGATTGGTTGATAAATTGGGTCAATGTCGATGTGTATGTTAATTGCTACAGGTCCACACGTGGAGAAATTCAAATGCTTCACTTCTTCTATCTGAAGTTTATGCTGATGATCATGTTGTTCAGAAGAAGAACCATGAAAGCTTCACAACCAAAACAACATCCAGCTCAGAGAACCAAACACCATCACCACCATCACAATCATCCACCTGAGCTACAAATCTTTTCCACTATCTCAGAATGATACAATCAGTCAGATGCAACGTAGAACTTCGTACGTAAGTACATCAGTTCATGTTGTCATACCACATCAGCACTGAGATGTAATTGTCAATTCAAATCCAATAGAGTAGTAGAGGTAGTAAGGGAATTAGAAGTAGTCGGAGAGGTGAGAACTAGAAGATAATATTCAAGAAGTATGATTCAGTGAGAAAAGTTTAGAAAGTCAAAACTAGAGGTGTTGAAGAACCCAGAAGATTAGGATTTGAGAGAATACAAAGCATAAATGAACCGGCGCCATTGCGAACGATTGTGATCCATGTCATTCAAGGTCTCTAACCATCAATTATTATCATCTCGCGGACCCCAACCAGGTAGTCGACAATTACCGACATGGCTAAGTCCACTTTGTCAGTGACTTCATGGATTCCTGCCATGTTTTGGTTCGGCCGCCCCCAGGCTTTCGTTCAACCTATTCCTACACTACAAAACAAAGCTGGACGAGGCAGTCGGTGGTTAGGCATATGCAACACATGTCCCAACCAGCTCAACTGATGAAGTTGATTTGCCATTCTTACCTAGCACCCGTTCCCTAATAACAGCGTTGCTCACTCAGGTGTTCCACGATATTATACGAGCACAGTGCTTCTGAGAAGACACCTATGATCGGAAACCAATAACCGATGATACAATAACGAAAAAACGGATTATTTAGAATGAGAATTTGGTTTTTACTTTGTACAAAATAGTAAGTATACACATAAGATACAAATAAGATACAAAAAAGAATAACATTCATATATATGCTGCCTTATATTATAGTTAAGATTGAAAACTTCGCTTTGATTGTATTTCATCTAATAGTTGTTGTAACTCTTCTTCAGTAAAACGTGGACTATCCAAACTTGGTATTAGAGCTTTACTTTCTTCTGCTGTATCCGGCAATAAATTAGCCAACGAGGCTAATTCAAAATTATGAAATCGTTTTTGTGTTAAAAGACTAGAAGAGAAAAAAATCAGTCAATAAATCGGTCGAGAAATATAACAAACTTACTTTCGTACACTTTCAATAGTTTCACGATTATTGAATTTTGAAAATTGTGTTACATAATTCAATGTTTTAGTGAATACTGGTGATAATTCCAGCTCATGAATTGTTGCATTTTCATTTTGTTCTTTTCTGTGTATAATTTTTTTTACAAAAAAAATCAATAAAAAATCTGTTTTTTTCAGTTAGATTTTTTTTTTAAAAAAATAGTCTATATTATTATTAATGACACGCATATTGTTTAATTAGTATGTCAGATTTAACATATTAATGATTCTCAATCATGGTGTCGCCATACAAATGGTCAATTCTTTAGTTTTGTATAAATCAACTATCGACTGTCTGTCTAGACGAACTATGTTTTGTGGTGTAAGAGTAGGTTGAAAGAAATCTAGGGACGACCAGACAAAAACATAGCATAAATCCATCAAGTCACTGACAAGTGGATTGGTAAGCGTAGACTACCACCTGGTTAGGGTACGCGAGATGATAGTAATCGACAATTAGAGACCTTGAATGACATGGATCAAAATTATTTGCAATGGCGTAGGCATATCCATTCTTTACCTTCTCTCTCTCTCTCAAATCCTAATCTTCTGAATTCCTCATAACCTTCACCTTTCTCTTTTCCAAATTTATTTCACTGAATTATACTTCTTGGATATTATCTTCGAACCCTTCGTCTTCTCCATTACCACTAATACTTCGATCGACTATCTTTACCACTATGTGGTTTGAATTAACAATTCGATCTCTGTGTGCTAATGTGTTATAGTAACTTGAACTGATGTATGGATGTACAAAGTCTTACGTTGTTGTTAACTGACTGACCGACTGACTGCAATCAAACCTACTCATATAGATTATAGCATTAACTGACTACGGAAAAGTGAAACAAGACACAAGTCAATTAGAATCTACAAGTGCGAATTGGTGAACTCCCGACCGTAGCTGCTGCATTGATGTGGCGGTCAGGCTTGCCTATCATGATGACTCGACTGAGCTATATTGGCTGGGACATGTTCCTTTAGGTTTTGCCATGCCAGGCACATCGATTGGAGAAACACCTCAACTGATGAAGTTTCAATACTTCATCTATTGATCTACCATCTCTACCTAGTACTCATTTCCTAACTAAGCATTGTTTACTCGGCTGTCCCAGGATATACGAGCAATGCTTGGAAGATATCTACTCAGCCACCTAAGCAAAACTGAACCAAGCTTATGGCTGATAATCACGTACTGAAACCAGCAAAACAACTCGTTGATTAGATACAGATGTAAGCAAATGGTTTAAACAATAAACCTTTTAATTGTTGGGACATAAGTAAGAGCCCAGCCGCCATAAAATGAATTACAGTTTCAGTTCAGTCACAATATAATATATACAACTAGTAAGGATTGGCCAATGGCTATCTGGGGTACAGTAGTCAACAAAGATCAGTCATGAAAAGAAGCACACCAGAATAACTCATTACGTAATGTGGAATGCAGAATATAGAACGTGTTTACATTGGTTTAAGTTGTCATAATTCATTGGAAAATCGAGATGAAATCATCAGGCCATAGTCTAAAGTAGATGTAGTTTGTCTTAGAGGTAATAGAAAATATTATGCATCGATGTTACGGTTCAAGAAAGCATAAGTCAAAAAAATCCCACCCGCAACTGCTATCTTACCTACTACAACTATCCGGTTGAACTACATTGTCTAGAACACTTGTTCCTTTAGGTCATATCATGCAAGGCAGATCATTTGATGAACAGCAAACCTAGAAGCATCAGACCTACGATCCGATGGCAAGGTCATACTGCCAAAGGTACTGAGGTATGATGATAGTAATTTATTTCCTCTAGGCTACCAGAATTTGTAATGATGTTGACTTTTCACAAAGTGTCAGGAAATGGCCTTATAAATGTCATGTCAACTTAGCCAATGGAATTCCGTCTACGGTGGTAAGGTCTTTTGAAGCGTAGATTTAACAGATTACTAACTTCTCACATAAATACTGTGGATGGTATCAAGCATATGTCCCATAAGGCGTGCAGTTAAGTTCTTAGGACTCTACAACCATTACTCACTTAGTTGCTGTTTCACAACACTTAGGAAGAAATAATGTAAGTGAAGAAAATCCTCATATTTCTTACAGCGTAAGAGATGCTTTAGTTCATGAACAAATAACTCATTCCATAAAATTAAAAAATTGGTTTTGGTGATAACTTTAGCTAAACGGTCACATGTAACAACAGGAAAGCATAAAGATTTATCGATTAGAAAATTTTAAGTGTATAAATTTGTAGAACACACTACATGAGCCGATAAAAGGACGATCGGTGATATGAGATACTAATCTTGTGGAGTCAAGAGAATTTCAGCATAAAGCTTTCCTATCGTTTAGGTGGTCAACCAAAACCAAAATCAGGATTTTCAATGCAAATGTCAAGACAGTTCTACTGTATGGAGCGGAAACTTGGAGAACTACGAAAGGCATCATCCAGAAGATACAAGTGTTTATTAACAGTTGTCTACGCAAAATACTTCGGATTCATTGGCCAGACACCATCAGCAACAACGTACTGTGGGAGAGAACAAACCAGATTCCAGTGGAGGAGGAAATCAGGAAGAAGCGGTGGAAGTGCATAGGACACACTACGAAAAGCACCGAACTGCGACACGAGACAAGCCCTCACATGGAAACCTCAACGTGAAAGGAAAAGAGGAAGGCCAAGGAACACATTACGCCGAGAAATACAGAAAGATATGAGAAGAATGAACAAACATTGGACAGAATTGGAGAGGGAAGCCCAGGACAGAGTTGGTTGGAGAAAACTGGTGGGCGGCCTATGTTCCATTGGGGGTAACAGGCGTAAGTAAGTAATCGTTTAGGTGGCTAATGATTAAAGGCCTAAAACTAATATTCCTCCAGTCATTTGAATATTGAGTGTCAATATCTTTGAGTTTAATATTAGACCCTAGAATAAACGTCATTTGATATGGAAGAGTTTCGTTTATGTATTTGAAATCATACTGTCATTATGAATTTCCTGGTTACAAATCTTTTGTATGAAACTGGTCTTTCAAAAATCAGTTAAAAACACTGACGATGTGTTACTAGGTCCTCTCCGTTTTCTAAGAGCCCGGAAATTTTAACATTTTGCCGATCTAAAAGAAACCAAAAGGTATGCATGCCTTGGTAAAATACCATAATATTTCATCAACAGAACGAATACATGAAATTCTATCAAACAAACGATATTATTTGACACTATCAGTGAGGAAAATATTGTTCTGAATCATTTTTAACAAGATTTCAAAATAAACATCAAAAAATTACAGTATCAAAAGCGTAAACGAAATCATAAGATAACTTGAAGGACTTATCATGGTGTTCTTGTAAAAGTCCCTAGCATATGTTGTCTATGAGAAGGCGAATTTGGTTATGTATTCCTAAACCTCAATTATTTATGTACCTGAATCTTTTTTGGCACTCCTGCCTTTGGTTTACAGCTTGCAACTTTTCGTTTTACAAAATGATTAATTTTCTAACAGTTTACTAAATATGCTCGTCAACATTTGTTTAACAAATTGGTTCATAGGTATCGACCAATAACACAAGTGAATTTATAGAACGGTCGGCAATGAAGAAAGGTTGAGGTCTGGACCAAAATGATTGTCATTGGATTTTGAAAGATAAGGTGTTCAAATACGCTCTTTTGATTATCAACATGAAATGTAGTGTTTCGAAAATAAGTACTAACAAAGGCGAAAAACATCAAGATTTTTGGGCGACAATATAAAAAAGTGCTCTGAAAAACGTAAATGATTATTAACCGAGCATATACTTAAGTTTAGCCCAGCAAATTAAATAAAAACAGTGACAAACCTATGTTCCAACAATATTTTAACTTCAGCAAGCATAAGTGTGTCAGCATTCTCAAAATCTAGAAGATGTTCATTTTAAACTAAAGGGTACCTTTAGAGAATTTTAATTCAGACGCATCAAAATCATCAGCAACTGCATGCATCTGAGACATCCTAACTAAAAGGTAACGCACTACTCTGAATTTGAAACGCCATGTCCAGTATACAATCTTCAAATTCTTGATTCCGATTTGTGTGTTCAGAACAGAAGACCTACATAACGAGTTAATTCTTTCTTGATGAGCTTCTGAAAGTATTTGATCATCTCTTGAACGAAATACTGGAAAGTGTGGACTTCACGTTCTCAGGAAATTTGAAAATATGTAGCCCACAGGTATTTTGTATATTCTTGGCTTTTATACTTGCTTGCTCGGTCCCCTAAATTGTCCTGCCATAGAGGGAAAAAAAGAAGAAGATATAACATATCGAAAATCACTTCTTAGTGTTCCATAACTTCTTCCAATTCGGCAACACAGATTAGGGAGTCCTAATTTTTTAAGCAATTATGTATATTGCAAATATTGGCGCTATAGATTATTTTTAGTAGTTTTTCTCCCGTTGAGAATGGTGACCTTTCTGTAGAGCCATTTTGTTCACTGCTTAGCATGTCACTTGTTTGCAAAATGATCATTATGACCTTTGTGATTACTATTTTCAGAATTTTTTTTTGAGACTGAAGTGGAAATTGCCTTGATCATGTATTACAAATTTAAGCAACAACTACACGCTTCCAGTTTGAAGGCGATTCGCTCTCATTAAGTGAAAAATAGTATAAGCGAAGCATCAATGTTTTGTGTGTTTTGTCTCAACATTTTAAGGTCTTGTTCATTTGAACCTGTTAATCTTTTCATTTTTCAAGGGACTAAATGGTGGCGATACGACAGCTTGGTCAAAGTCCACCATAAAAAGAAGATTTGTTGGTTTGCATTTATGTCGCTGTTCGTCTGGTGGAGGCGCTAGAATGAAAACTGTCCTGAAATAGTTCGCTATGGCTTTTGCTTTGTAATGATCCCTCACTACTTCCTTCCATAATTAGGCTATGAATTCAATGGTGCGTTTCTTCTCTAATTTTGAAGCATGAACTGTCGAATCTGGTGGAATCTTTAATAAGCTAGGCAGATGCTAATGAAAACGTGTGACACTGCTCGATAGGTGATTAAATGCAATCTAAGAAACTCTCAGTTACGCATTATTTCAGATAAAAATTCTTTTATTTTAGTGTTACGGAGTACTTGGTTTTTAGTATATCTTGACACGATGGACTTTCTACTACCTTAACTTTGACAAATGCAGACCCTGGTAGTGAAATCGATCTTATCGAGTTTGTATTTGACAACAAATATCACATAGTTGAACGTCCTTTTGCGTAATTTACAAGATATGATCTCATTTATTGAGACGGTTCAGTAGTGTTACATGCTTGAAGGTGTAGGCAAACTAGGATTTAAATTAGTATAAAGTCTCCAAGAACCAAAATTACTATGTTTTTAATGAGAAGGAAAAATGCCCTGGCTGCACCTTACTTTCTGGTGATTGCCCTTCGGTTTTCTCAATTTTCTACAACAGAATTCTTAGAGCGCAAGCTTACGAGCCTCCAGTAATGAGACTTCGAGCAGAAAGATGATATGTTATCTGATATTCCAGCATTCTTATTGTCATATAGCAACCTGTTTCGAAGTAGTTTATCTGTCTGAGCCCATTTTCATCGTTTCCTATTCTGACAGTTATCCACAATTTTGTGTTGCCCAAACAGATGAAAAAGGAAAGATAGAACTTTAATTAATTCCCGTTAGTAAATATCAGGAAAAGATTGAAATTTTAAATGTTATCTTGTGATGCCAAACACACTTATATCATGAGGGTGATAATTCTCTATAAAACATTTATTCGCTTATCAGGCTTGCGGTAATTATGAGAATGTACAATAACTTCATACACCGTCCTCGGTGAACACTGCTTCACATCTAAACAGGATTAAACTCCACTAGTAACGACTTCTTACCAGAAATATATTACACACGAAGCTAGTCACTAGTGAGCCGGGTAATTTGCATTGTGCCGTTGTGGAGATCGTTGAATCACTTACTGAAATCATGAATCGATCAGTTTTAGACTACCACTAGAAACCTGGAAGCACTCGACAAGTGGTTCAGTGGTTAAACGTCGCACGCAAGACCGAAGGTCCCGATTTCGAATCCTGAGACGTGCAGGAGTCGTAGATGTGCACTGCTGACTGTAGAATCCTTTTTGAATGTTTTGTTTTTTGGAAAATCCCTCCATGTTTACATATTTTTGCTATGACATGACGGACTTTTTCTGTTGACATTTTTGGTATTTTATTTGATTCCAATTTGAGATTTTATCATTGTATATTGTTATTCTTTCTATATTTTGTACTTATATTGAAGTTTTTGTGTTTGCTTCTGAACTGTACATATGTTGTTTAAATTTGATCTTTAATATGGCTACTGCCATATTTGGATTGATGCAGTGGCCGCTGGACTTAGCGTCACTTATCTGTCACTGTGTCTGATACTCTTCGGAGTAATTGTACCCTGGAAGAGGCACTATTTCCAGGTAATGCTTTGTATTTCCATTTTTTAATTAATAAAGACGCTTTCTCCTAGAATTTTTGTCCTTTTTGAATTGGTTGGGACCCGGAACTGGGAAAATCGTACAGGAGTGCCCCTATTGGAACCCATTGGAACGGCCACTGTAGAAATTCATTTACAGTCTGGAAATATCTCTATGAACGATTATATTCTGGAAATATTCCTATGAACGTGTATATTCTGGAATTATTCCTATGAACGATTATATTCTGGAAATATTCCCATGAACGTGTATATTCTGGAATTATCTATTACCTTTTGATAAGAAGAACAATTACAGTTGGATTATTAAGAATTATAAAGAAACATTTGGAATCTTAATCGTTTATCACACTAGACTTTCTTGAAAGAAGAAATTTGGATTATTTATCATATTCTTGAACTGAACTGTGGAATTACTATATTTTGTATTTGTTACCTTCCTTATATTGAACTTCATTTATGATGTCAAGCCGAAAGAAATCAAACATGAGGAGGGTGGAAGAGCTCGACGGATCACAGAACTCTAAGCAAGTCGTTAATGATGAATTTTTTATGGGTAACCCACATGTTATGTCTGATACTTATTATTGTAAGTCACCTTTGGCAGGCATTAAGGAACCAGGATTAAGTGAGAGTTCTAAGGTACCAGAGACGCATCAGATACTTAAGACATCGATAGTAGGCTTAGAACTACCTTAGGTCGAACTTTCATATTTTGATGGAAAGTCTCGCGACTATTTTAGGTTCATGCGTCAAATCGAAACGTTTATAGAACCCAGAATAAAAGATGACCAAGTTCGTTTATTGTATTTAATTCATTATTGTAAGGGAAAAGCAAAAAATGCGATTGAAGGCTGTATTATTATGGATCCACAAGCAGGATATAAGAGAGCTAAGGCCATTCTAAAACAGCTCTTTGGACAGTCGCATGTAATAGCCCGGGAAACCTTAGAGGATTTATTTAGAACTGGGAACGCAGATTTTAATGATCCTGAATTATTGACGAATTTGGCTATTAAAATGCAGAACGCTGCTTTAACCTTAGAACAGCTAAATTGCACAACAGAACTTAATTCCTTGGTTACTTTAGAACGAATAGTCAGGCTCTTACCTCGTCGAATGCAAGCCCAGTGGGCAGAGCTAGGAATCAAGTGGGACGAAGAGGAGAGAGAGCCTAATTTCAATGAATTGACGGAATTTATTATGTCTCGCGCTAAGATAGCTAGTAGTAGGTTCGGAAGATTAGCTTATCGGCCTAAAACAGGAAATAATACGGAAGCTACTAGTGGTCTGCGTGCGAGACATGAGGATTTTTCGTTTCTACCTAACGCACGCTCGGAAGATAAGAGAGTTGTCAATTATATCACGAAAGCATACGCTGATGAAGGACGAGTATGTGACCGTAACGATGTAAAACCTCTTGATGTGTATCCTAGTAAGAAGCCGGTTGGTGTAACAGATAAGATGGCTTTTCTAAGTATAGAAAAGAAAGAAAAAGGTGAAAAGTGTAGGAGTCAAGATGGATCCGAAGTGTGTGATGATAAAAGCCTCTCAGCTGCTCGAAAAGCCTGGAACGGTTATTTGGATTCGAGTAATCAGAGGTTAATGAGTTCAGTAAATATGAAGAAGGCCCAGGCAGGATTGTCTGAACGGAATAAAGCCTATTTTCGGAACCCTTCATTTAGGGTAAATTATATAACTGGACCTAGAGTAGATTCTAGGATAAGTGATGGTGGTACTGTAAAGGCTAAGAAGCCTAGGAGACAACATGATGCTACTATTATTAAGAAGCCTAAACCTCATGCTCTTTCGGATGCTATGACTAGCAATGGAAATAGTAGCCATCAGAATCCTAGTAGTGGCAGCGATAATAAGGAGACAGAAAGTGTGAGCAGTCCACTTATAGTGACTAGTCTATCAACTTCATCGAATGAGCCTCCTAGTGTTTCGACGTCATTGGACCTCGTCACGAATGTTAAGTTGATTGAAGATGCACAAGGTTGTGCAACTGTAACTGTTCCTATTCCGGTTGACTGTCAGTCGAGTGATGATGAGAAGAAAGTGTTTGATGGTAACAGCCAGTCTACAGTGTTGTGTGATGACGATGCTATTGATGAGCATATGTCTTGTGTCTCTGAAACGGATGCTAATGCAGACCGAATCGACGCGACTTGTCTGACAGAACGGAATCATGATGACGTTGATAATAATCTGGATGTCACTGATGTGACAAATGAGTTACCGACGATGACGAATACTGATCAAACCTCCTCTGTATCAGGAGATGGAAAGATAAATATTGATCCCACGTTATGCTACTTAAAGTCTTCTGGAGACGATGAAATGTCAAAATTGGAGATCCCACCCTTGCATATTATCTATGGGTCAAGAATTTCTGTTGATAAGTTAGCATCACGGACTTCATTGTATCTGCTGATCGGAGCAAGTGGTGGTGGATTGGCGACTCGTCCCCATGATAGAGAATGTAGTTCTCGGATAGGATATGACCAGTTTTACGACGTGTTGTACATGTTCGTGTGGGTTAATTGGGTAAGGTTTATACTACCGTTAGGTCATGCCACGATAGATAGGGGAATCAAGGGCCTGATGGGAAAGTATAGGTACCTAGTTAGCATGATAGGTCATATCCATGTTGGATGGCGGGTAGGCGTACTGCTGTAAGTCCTACACGTTATTCCGGTGTGGATTAGGGGATAATTGGGAACCCTAAATAAAGTGTCATTAACGCTTGCTCTTTTTGCATGGAGGGATTTTGCGGGCCGGTGTAGAATCCTTTTTGAATGTTTTGTTTTTTGGAAAATCCCTCCATGTTTACATATTTTTGCTATGACATGACGGACTTTTTCTGTTGACATTTTTGGTATTTTATTTGATTCCAATTTGAGATTTTATCATTGTATATTGTTATTCTTTCTATATTTTGTACTTATATTGAAGTTTTTGTGTTTGCTTCTGAACTGTACATATGTTGTTTAAATTTGATCTTTAATATGGCTACTGCCATATTTGGATTGATGCAGTGGCCGCTGGACTTAGCGTCACTTATCTGTCACTGTGTCTGATACTCTTCGGAGTAATTGTACCCTGGAAGAGGCACTATTTCCAGGTAATGCTTTGTATTTCCATTTTTTAATTAATAAAGACGCTTTCTCCTAGAATTTTCGTCCTGTTTGAATTGGTTGGGACCCGGAACTGGGAAAATCGTACAGGAGTGCCCCTATTGGAACCCATTGGAACGGCCACTGTAGAAATTCATTTACACTGACAAGTCCCACATCAAAACGAAATGGCCCCACAGTGCTTATGTGTTTATAATGGTGATCTAACATTGGTCAATTAATGGTTTCAATTTTGTTATTGTGATCTAACCAACCGGTCTGTAACACTTTTGATATCTGCATTCTTTTTTAGAAATCAGAGTGCGGATCATACTTTCCCGCTACATCAGCGATTTTTCAAGACCTCTTGAAGATTGACGTGGATTCCTTACTGGGTAACAGAAGACATCCATATATGTTTCCATTATATTTAGGAACAAAACACTTTTTTTGACAAGTGCTCGTTAAAATAACGAGCATTCTCCGCTGAAAGTGAAGATTTGAAAATACGAGGCTGCAGAAGCTATTACCCTAAAGATACATGCATTTATCAACAGTAGTCTCGAAAAGATAAAGAGGGTCAGTTGGCCAAACACCATCAGCTGAAATATTCTTGTGGACAAAAATGAAGAAGTAGACGAGAAAGCACATTGCACAGAGTCAGAAAAAGACATTAGAAGAATGATTAATAACTGGATACCTTTCAGGTGGAGAGCTTGGGGCACTGTTGGATAGAGAATGCTGGTCGGCGAACTACGCTACTTTAGGTAGTAACCGTCGTAAGTATGTAGCTCCAAACGTTTCGCATCCGCATTATTGTTCCTACCCTTTTCCATTGCTTTTGGTTTTGAAATTCAACCTGAACAGTAATTAAGTTATTGCTTCATATTGTATTCGGAAATTCTAATTTGACTGTTCATAATAATTTGCTGCGTATTTAAACACTAGAAGTATACAATAACCAATAATTATTTACAAGGCGACTTTATTAAATGGAGTTATCAGGAGCGGATTCGAGAATAGACGTCTCTCAAGATAAATTTGACTGCTTACTATAAAAAATTATTTGAACCCTTCCTTAAGGATTTCAGGTTTGAACTGTCAGTTGATGACTCCGAAACTACGTCTACTGCATATATTAATCGCCACAACGACGCAGATACATTTTACTGGAAAACTAAGAAGTGAGGTAACCAAGTAACAGCATTAAACTAGTTTCCCAAAGGCGAAATATCATGAACGAAATTCATAAGGGATTTCTGTAGAACAGTGATTAAATATGTTATAATTTTTTTTTGTCAGTTAGTTATTTAAATCTCTGACGTTCACTGTTTGTTACTGGAAACAATCACAGTTAATGAACAAAAACACAGCCGTTGTTGTTATTACATGTAAGACTCGTTTTTGTCCGGACCAATTGAATGTTTTTATCTGTAGTAGTATATAGAGAAGATTAAGACGAAAACATCAAGCTGACTTGCCAGTAAGCCGCTAATAAGCACAAAGCCAGTCCCTAAAGTAGTAATGAGATTCATTTAATTGTATGTAAGAAGAAATTTTACGACATTGCAGAACACGTGGAACACTCCTGGATGAAAACCAATAGATCACGAAGACATTAACTGGTTTATACGAACATGTGAAAAAGATATTGGATATTGGACTGCTATCTGTTTCAGGTCAGCGACATATAATTCTCAAGGTCTTCTGTTGGCGTTGGATTATTTTGGAACCCCGAGTTTTCGAAACTTTATTTTATGACCTTGTTAATATTGGTAGACTTTAATTTCAAGACATTCATCACACGGAAATAGATCCATCTTTTTCATTCACCTAAGATTACTTGGAAACTTTTGACTATATCATGTGCATCCTATCCTTAAATTAATATGAATAACAAGTATTCAAAAGCTTTAATTGCAGATTTATCATATAATCAAACCATTAATTAGCCAGAGAGTAGCCAATAATTTCTCAGGATTTTTTAGAATTATTCTTCGATATCAACGTTACGGTTCCAAGCGTGCTTCATGCTAGAATATATACAATCTGATGTTTTGATATTGTAAATGTATGTTTCATGTTAGTATTATTAGTTGATTCTTGTGGTTCTCTCTCAAAGTTATTGTAGTCAGATAAAGTCTCATCGTTTAAATATTTTTTTAAAGGCTTCAGTGTGATATATTACTCCTACTAAAAAAGCCAAATTTTAATTCAAACTTTTTCATTATTAATGGTTAGTCAATAAGTCAGATACAGTGTAGAACTTAGTACTTAAGTACATTAGTTCAGGTTGCCATACCACGTTAGCACAGAGACGCAATTGTCAATTTAAATCCCATAGTTGTTGAGATAGTAGGAGTATTACTTGTAATGGAGAAGTTTAGGATTTTAAGATAGTATTCAAGAAGTATAATTCAGTCAGATAAGTCTTGAAAGACAAAGGTAGAGGTGTTGACGAATCCAGAAGATTAGGATTTGAGAGAGCATAACAAATGGATGCACTTGCGGCATTGCAAACGATTTTGAGCCTTGTCATTCAAGGTATTTACCGTCGGTTACTTTCATCTCGCGGACTCCAATCAGGTAGCCTACATCTACCAACATCATTTCCATAACGTACTAAAAATAATTTTTAAAATTAATAAGGAAATAAAATTCACGAAAAAAACAACAGTTAGTTATTTCGGTTTAATGCAGAATAACCAACCCATATGAACTAGTAACTTATTCAGAGATTAAAAATAAGGACATTTAAGCTTCCTAAACAGAAATATCATAACTCACTATTAAATTGATATCTAATAGGCAATCATTTTTTTCAGTTATTCTAATTAATGAAGTTTCTATGAAACTTATCAGCAATTTATGTTGTTACTGACCATTGGACTGGCAATTTTCGAATCAATTAGTCATAACACAGAACAATGATTATCTTATATTACTAGATCTTATCAATGTTGTTCAATTAAAACTAATTTGTGTTGATTATTATTATTATTATTTTTCACCCGGTTTTCTTGTAGATAATGACACACTGTATCGGTGATATACGCTTGTTCATCATCATGTTATTTCTCACTTCTTTCACTTATTCATTTATCTTTCAACTTTGACAATAACACAAAAAAAAACATTCCTTAGTTCATTTGTCTATTATTTCTTTGTCTTTGTTGATCTCTAATAAAAACAAACAAATGAATTTGTATCTTTTCATCTGTTTCTCCTTTTGGTTACATTCCATTTGTTGTTTAGCTCAAAATGAACAACAATCTATATTCAATCAATTATACACTTTACTAACTGGTGATAATCAAACATTCAGCAATATTATTATCTCATCCAAATGGTTAGATTATCTTATTAATTTGCCTGGATCTGGTTATTTAATTGCATTTATTTATTGGTTACGTCATCCAGTCCTGTTGTGTTTGTTACTGCCATTTTTATTGATTTTTTTCATATATTTCACTGTCATTCTGCTACATTTATATCATTTACGTTTTTGGTTACGTCGTCATTTGAATCGTTTATTGGCTAAATTTAGACAGTCTGCATCAGTATCATCAACATCATCGACTAGTCATTTATATTTAGATTCATTAGCGGAATTATTACGTCGTATTGTTGCTGCTGTATGGGATTCACATGGACGTATATTTCATGGTTATGAAATTATTGGTATGGAGAAATTACCGCTCACTGGACCAGCTTATTTAGTTTATTATCATGGAACATGTCCATTTGATGCATATTATTTTACATCAAGATATTGTATTGAAAGAGATAGGTAAAAAGAAATTGCTTTTTTCTCAAATGTACATTTTTACACGTTGAAATCACTGTCAGAAACCTGGATGGCTGTTTCGTCCTGGTGTGGGACTTATCATCAGAGTTAGACATTTAAACTGTCGGATGCTAGCCTAGTGGTCCAGAGATTTGGCGTCCGCGCGCAACACTGAAGATCCTGGGTTCCAGTTCTGCGAGGTGCAGGTGTCGTGCATGCGCACTGCTGACAAGTCCCATACCAGGACGAAACGGCCGTCTTTCAGTGCTTCCAGGTTTCTAGTAGTGGTCTAATAACAACGATTGGTTGATAATATTCACGTGTAAAATTTTTGGTGTTTTTCCTCTGTTAAGGATTCAGATCAGTTTAGCTAGTTAAAAGTACCGTAGATTCTGTCACAAATAAGCACTGGATCATGTTGCTACACCATATCAGTATATTAGGATGAAGATTTAGGCAGTTAAAGTACCATTGAAAACTATATGGGGACAGTCAGTCAGTCAGTTGCAACGTAGAGCAGTCACTCATGAATTATTGCAAATTCACTGGTGATTAATTTCGACATCAGTTTAAAAAGCGTTTGGTTAACTGAAGCTACAACATTTCTGATGTGACACAATAATCATAAACGTCACTAAGACCATTAACACAGTTTTCCTTTCCAATTCCTCAAGATAAAAATATCCTCCTATACTGTAGGCGACCATATAGTGATAACTACCCTTATACGACCTTGTTTACTCTTGTCCTTATACGTGTTCAACACTAACAAAACATTTCGAACTACTAGGTCTGTATTTGATAGTACACACTTTTCTCTCCTGTCCGTTTCTAACATTGAATGGTCTCTATTCAGTGTCACTAGTTAATTACTGTGTTAATATTTTCTCCAACACTCTACTAGATTATACATTTCATCGATAATTTAATGTAATTCATTTTCAAAGTACAAAATAATATATTTGCTACTACTTGCATAGTACAATTTAATTGTGTGACGCCTGGTGATACTTATATCCAGTTATTCAAACTGAAGTCAAACAACAGGGTTCGAACTTATGACATATAGGTTGAAAACCAAATGCTTTCATCATAAAACTAACATTCCAACTTATTCATAGGTTTAGTTTACTAAATGATATTTAATTTAATTAAAAATTAATGCATTAAACCGAATACTTGAAAATGAGCAAGATTCTACATGCGAGAACTAATAATTCTACCTAGTAGTGTTGACAGATACAACGCAGAACTTCGTACGTAAGTACATTAGTTCAGGTTGCCATACCACACATTAGCACAGAGACGCAACTGTCAGTTCAAATCCGATCGAAGCTACTGCCTTGATGTGGTGGTCGGCCTTGCCTATCGTGATGATCCAACCGAGCTATATTGGTTGGAACATATGTTCCTGAAGGTTCTACCATGCCGGGCAGGTCTATTGGAGAACGATGAGACTAAAAGAAGCTATTCAAGGTCTGAGGGCGAAGTCGTACTGCTGACTGTGATGGATGGGTGTGATAGTAGTAATGTGTTTCCCTCGGACAACCAGCATCTGCAGCAATGCTGCCTTCTCACAAGGAAGGAAGGAAGGGTTAGAAAAGGTCGACCCTTAAAATGTCGCACCCCACCCTACCTCACGGATTTCCGTCTCCGTCGGTAAGGGTGCCTACTAAGGGCTTTTAAAAAGAGCGGAGCTAATACTCAAAAAACCTTTCATCGAAAGGCCTTGCTTGACCGGCCTGAAGCAGTTTTCCCTTGGGCTCCGCGGTCACGTTCCCAGGTCGTTAAGATCAACACTAATCTATCTTCTTTTTCAGGTTCCTCAAGAAACAGCCTTCCGTTGTGTGGGCAGCCTGGAAGTGATAACCGTCCTCATACGCGTAAGAGTACGCGAGACCAAATCGGTCATAATCAAACTTAGTTGTTCAGAACAAAGTAGGTGGGATGAGGTTCGGACCTTGGATTTAATAGCTCAAAGCTGAATACCTTTATCAGCATTCCACCACTTCGGAGTAATACCTACCTCTATAAATTCCTGCCAATCCCATCTCATTATGTCGTACCCATATAATTCATTTGCCAAGTTTACAAATTTATCTGACTTGTTTAATTGTTTGTCATTTGGTTGTTTTTTTATCCCTAAAACCCAAAAATCAATTTCAAAATGAAACAAACTTATTCTATATGGATTTTTCGAATTTTTTTTCCAGATTTCCTGTTCCTGTTGTAGACAGATTTGTATTTCGTGTACCTGGACTTGGACGTCTATTGGAAACAGTCGGTGCAATCAAAGGTTCTGTTGATGAATGTGTTGCTCATTTGAAACCAGGTCATATTCTTAAAAGTAAGTTGGACTTAACTTATTTATCATATGATACTTGCGCATATAGAGTAGTAGTTCAACCGTTTGATAGAAAACCCGATATTCACTAAAATAGAGTTTGTTAACAAATGTTAGATAGGCCGGAAATAGCTGTAGCACAATCTTTTCGGCAGAGACTTTTGTTGACCATTATATAGATATGAAGATTTTTGTTATTCATCCAAAATGGTGAATCGATCATTATTAAATCCATTTTATAAACCTGAAAGCACTGGACAACCGTTTCGTCCTAGTAGTGGGCTCATCAGCAGTGCGCGTCTACAACACTGCTCGTGGGAGTCGGTCTCGGGCGCGAACACTTGACCTCTAGACTACTGAGTCGTTATCCAACGGTGTTAATCAATCTAAAGTATTGCTCAACCGAATCCATTGTCTTCGGTTCTTGTTTAGTTTTGTCATCAGTCAGTCAGTTGCAACATAGAACTTCGTACGTATGTACATAAGTTCATGTTGCAATACCACAGCACAGAGACGCATATGTCAAATCAAATCCCATAGTGACAAAGATAGTAGAGGTATTAATGTTAATAAAGAAGACTAGGGTTCGAAGATATTATTCAAGAATAACAATTCAGTGAGATAAGGTTAGAAAGACAAAGGTAGAGGAGGTGCTGAAGAATCTCGAAGATTAGGATTTGAGAGAGCTCAATGAGTGGATGCACCTGCGCCATTGCAAACGATTTTGAGCCATAACGTTCAAGGTCTCTAACCATTGATGACTTTCGTCTCGAGGACCCCAACCAGGTAGTCTACATCTACCAACATGACTCAGTCCACTTGTCAGTGACTTCATGGATTTCTGCCATGTTTTGGTCTGGCCGCCCCTAGCTTTCTTCCAATCTACTCCTATACCACAAAACATAGCTCGCCGCGGCAGTCGGTGGTTAGCCATACGTAGTACATGTTTCAACCACCTCAACTGATGAAGTTTCACTATTTCATCTATTGATCTGCCATCCTTACCTAGTACTCGTTTCCTAACGACAGCATTGCTTACTCGGCTGTCCCACGATATACGAGCAATGCTTCTTAAACATCTATGATCGTATACTAGTAACCCACGAACATCTACTCTTAACGGCCATGCTTCACAGCCATATAAGAGAGCGGAACGAACTGCTGCGCAGTACACCCGCCCTTTGGTTAGCGAACGGATATCACGCCTACGCCATAAGTGACGCAGGTTGGCAGAAGCCAATCGAGCCTTCTGTATCCGAGCTGAGATTTCGTCAGTCACCAGACCGTCAGCACTGATGAGACTCCCCAGATAAGTGAAGTGATCAACACGCTTGACTACTTCACTCCCTGTCACTAGTTCAGGTGCCAATGCAACCCAATCTTGAAGTAACATTTTGCATTTCGAGGGGAAAACCGCATCCCGAACATGCTTGCATTGTTGCTTAGGGTAGTCAGAAGACTCTGCATTTTGTCAGCGTCTTCACCGAATAGAATTATGTCATTGGCATATTCTAGATCAGTAAGCGACTTACCTGGTAGAAGGTCTACCCCTGAAAAATCTGACGAGCTTAATGTTAACTCTAAGAGGATGTCTACGACAAAGTTAAACAATAATGGAGAGAGTGGACAGTCCTGACGGACACCACTTGATGTAGGGAATTCAGATGACAGTTCGCCATATGCTCTCACCCGACCAGTGGTGTTCGAGTAGAGTGCTTGTATAAGGTTAATGTACTTCTGCGGTACACCTTTCAATGACAGACACTGCCACAGAACCTCACGATCCACCGAGTCCAATGCCGCTTTTAGGTCCAGGAAGACAACTATTGTAGGACGCCTAAATGTGTGTCTGTGTTCCAGGACCTGTCGTAGTGTGAAGATGTGGTCTATACAACCACGTCCAGGTCGAAAACCAGACTGGTTTTCTCTAGTCTGCTCTTCACGAGCTCTAGTTAGACGTCTAAGTATAATCGAGGCTAACAATTTAGAAACTATATTAGTTAAACTTATTCCACTGTGATTGTCACAAGAGGACTTCTGTCCTTTCTTGTAGATTGGGACAATTAGCGACTGAGACCAGTCAGATGGGATTACGTCCATTTCCCAGATTCTACCTAAGATCTGTTAAAACTGGACCACCCTCCTTAAACATATCAGGGGTAAGCCCATCGGGACCTGCTGCTCTACCTCCCCTTAGATTTACTATAGCTTTCTCAACTTCATGTAAACTGGGAGGACTTAAATCTATTTGCCATTCAGGATGACTGGAGATCGTGGGCAACCGAAGTGTGGCTCGAGGCCAGTTAAACTGATCCCTAAAGTGTTCTTCCCATCGGTCCAGCCTCCTAGATTGAGAATGGATAATGAGACCATCATTTTCCGAGATAGTCTCATTCACATTCGGGTTCCTAATACCGGTTTCTTTAATAAGGCGGAAAAGTTGTCTAGTGTTGCCTATCGCCGCTGCCTTTTCCATCGCTTTTGCTTTCGCCACCCACCACTGTTCACGGTCGTTACGTAGGCTTTTTATAAGTCTGCGCCTAAGCTGACTACGCCCTTCATCATGTTCAGAGTCAGGTGGGATGCGTTTTCGAGCATCCATCAGTTCGGTGGATGCGACTGAAATCCACTGCTTCATCCTAGCATTGTGGTTTACCTTGCTAGCAGATACCATTGCTGTTTCCACAGCCTTCTTGATATGATTCCAACCTGTTTCAGGATGAGAATCACTTGCATGGCCGCCTAACTGTTTTTCTAGTTCCTCCTGAAATATTTTCTTAGCTTGATTATCATCAAGTAAAGCCCTAAGAGGCTTCCTTACGGTGTCTTTCCTACGTCCAGCAAGCCTCAAACAAATACGTGCTCGCACTAGGGCATGATCTGAATCTAAACATGTGCCCCAGAACGAGCGACAGTCCTCTATCGAACCCCTCCATCGATGGCTGATGGCGATATGATCTAGTTGTGTCCAACGTTGAGACGACTTCGGGGGTCGCCAGGTCAAAAGATGTTTTTCCTTATGCTTGAAATTAGTGTTTGCTAGAAATAGTTGGTTATCTAAGCACAGTTGCAACAGACGGTCGCCATTGTCTGTTCTTTGAGCCGCGAGACCGTAACATCCACCTAGGTGTCTTTCATTTTCACTTAGTCTACCTACTTGTGCATTGAAGTCACCAGCCATTATAACTATATCAGAGCGCTTAACTTTTTGGAGAAGGTCCGAAAGCTTTCTGTAAGACTTATCTTTTACATCATCTGGGCTGCAGTCAGTGGGGGCGTAGGCTGATATGATGAAGCGGCAACGACGAGTGTCCCTATCCTTTCGAATCTTTACTGTCCCGTTTAGTCGGACGGCGCACAAACGACTATCTACAGGGATCCACTCAAGGAGAGATTGTTCAAGACTCAATACTATACCTACACAAGCGAGACCCCAGGAAGCAGCATCAGAGCTACCGGATACACGAAGAGTGAATCGAGATGCTTCTTCATCTTGACATGGTGAGGTCAAGTGAATGATGCTACTCGGATCCTGTATGCGCGTTTCACAGACGCAGCACACATCGATGGAACGAGATTCTAAAGTCCTAGCTAATGATGCCTGTTGCCCTATTTGACACAATGTCCGCACATTAAATGCTCCAACATGTAGTTTGGAACGGGGTTTAAGGAGACCAGGAACGACGTTTCGCGAACTCGCATCGTTTGCATTAGCTGTGCACTGTGATAAATGAGTGTGAGAAGAGTTAGTAGTGGAGATAAGAGAGGTATTAGGGGGTGTAGGAAGGATTTGACTTTGAACAATTTGGTCTCGTGTGCTGTTACGGGTATGAGGGCGGTTATCACTTCCCGGCTGCCCACACCGTGGAAGGTTGTTTCTTGAGGGACCTGAAAAGGAAGATAGATTGGTGTTGGTCTTAACGACCTGGGAGCGTGGTCGCAGAGCCCAAGGGACAACTGCTTGAGGCCGGTCACGCATGGCCTTTTTATGAAGGGTTTTTTGAGTATTAGCTCCGTTCTTAAAGGCCCTTAGTGGGCACCCTTACCGACGGAGACGGAAATCCGTGAGGTAGGGGAGGTGTGACATTTTTAGGGCCGACCTTTTCTAACCCTTCCTTCCTTGTGAGAATGCAGCATCGCTGCAGATTCTGGTTGTCCGAGGGAAACACTTTACTGCTGTCACACCTCTTTGCAGTCAGCAGTACGACTTCGCCCTCAGACCTTGGGTAGCTGCTTTTAGTCTCATCGTTCTCCAATCGACCTGCCTGGCATGGTAGGACCTTCAGGAACATGTGTTCCAGCCAGTACAGCTCGGTTGGGTCATGACGATAGGCAAGCCCGATCACCACGTCAAGGTAGCCGCTTCGGTCGGGAGTTTTGTCATAGACATGCTCCTATAAATGACCGCCCTAAGCAACAATGCAAACATGTTCGGGATGCGGTTTTCCTTCTCAAAATACAAAATTTTGCTTCAAGATCGGGTTGTATTGGTACCTAAAGTAGTAATAGAGGGTGAAGTAGTCGAGTGTGTAGATCGCTCCACTTATCTTGGGAGTCTCATCAGTGCTGATGGCCTGGTGACTGACAAAATCTCAGCACGGATACAGGAGGCACGATTGGCTTTTGCCAACCTGCGTCACTTATTGGCGTAGGCGAGATATTCGTTTGTTGACTAAAGGACGAGTGTACTGCGCAGTAGTTCGCTCAGTTCTCCTACATGGATCCGAAACATGGCCGGTAAAAGTAGGAGATATTTGTAGGTTAATAGCATTCGATCATAGATGTCTTAGAAGCATTGCTCGTGTATCCTGGGACAACCGGGTGAGCAAGGCTGTCGTTAGGTAACGACTTCTAGTTAGTGATGGCAGATCAATAGATGAAGTGGTGAAACTTCATCAGTTGAGGTGGTTGGGACATGTTTTACGTATGCCTAACCACAGACTGCCTCGACAAGCTATGTTTTGTGGTGTAGGAGTAGGTTGGAACAAAGTTAGGGTAGGCCAAACCAAAACATGGCAGAAATCCACGAAGTCACTAACTAGTGGACTGATTCATGTTGGTAGATGTAGGCTACTTGTTTGGGGTCCGCGAGACGAAATTCATTGATGGTTAGAGACCATAAACGACATGGCTCAAAATCGTTTGCAATGGCGCAGTTGCATGCACTCATTGTGTTCTCTCAAATTCTAACATTCTGAATTCCTCATCACCTCTATCTTTCTCTTTCTAAAAATTTATCTCACTGAATTGTACTTCTTGAATAACATCTGCAAACCCTAACCTTTCCGATAGCTGCCCATACTTCTACTACCGCTACTACCACTAGGATTTGAATTGACAATTCCATCTCTCTGCGGTAATATGGTATGGCAGCTGGAACTGATGTACGTACAGATGTTTCTCGGTTACCTTAATGGAAGTGAATAAAATGAGGTTTTTTTTTTACCGTTGATTTAGTTAGAAGTCAAACGTTTTAATCCGTGAAAAAGCAATCTCAACTTTCTTTACTTGGACATATTGAACTGGTGATATTTTTTTGCTATAATCTCATTTTGGTTGATGTAAGGCGTAAACTAATCAATAGAAATTCGATATTATCCATGCATAAAGTTATGTAAACCAAAAAACTAAGCCATATTGCTGTTTACAGTTTCCAGAAATCAAAAAAATCAGTAATTGAAGAGATTGGCCAATGGTGATGTAAGGCGTCACCTTTAATCACCACGGTAGCTTGATTGCATTCATTTGGTTGCCATTTTGTAAATCCTGACTTATCATGTTTCTTTCTCAACTATATTTCTCAGATTTCTATGATCATTGAAATTAGTTACTCATCGAGTGTGATAATTTCATGTGAGGTTATGTAAAACTTTCGATTTCATTGAAGTTAGACATTAACACTCGTGGATGCCGAGTCAGTGGTCTCAGTCAGTCAATCAGTCAGCAACAACGTAAAACTTCTTGCGTACGTGCATCAGTTCAAGTAGCCATATTACGATAGCACAGAAATGCAATTATCGATTCAAATCCCATAGTTGTAGAGGTAGTAGGAAGTATGAGCAACAATCGGAAAAGTTAGGGTTTGAAGATGTTATTCAAAAGAAAGTCAAATTAGAATTTGAGAGAACATAAAGTGTGGATGTACCTGCACTATTGCAAATGATTTTGAGTCATATCATTCAAGGTCTGAGTGTAAAGTAATGCTTACTGAAGAGTAGATGAGATTGAGCAAAACATTAGATTGATCAGAGTTAGACATTAACTCCGTTGGATGTCGGTTCAACGATCTAGAGGTTAAAGGTTTGCGCGCGAGATCGAAGGTCTTGAGTTCGATTCCCGTGAGCAGGATTAGTGAATGTACACCGCTGATATAAATCTCATACCAGGACTGTTAGGATATTCACCAAATATCCTACAAAGAATCATTTCGTAAGTATACACTTTACTGGTCGATTCCTACTGGTCAATATTATGGTCGTCTTAGCTATCTATGCCACGTAACTTCAATGTTGTTTCATATTGGTCTCCTTAACTGTCAATGTCACAAACTTCAATGATGTTTCCTATTCGACCTAAATGTATAAATACGCATTATCTGTAACGTTTTATGGCCAGGACCTGGATCCCTAGTCCGGGAACTTTCTTATCTTCTGGGCTCGGACCTCGTACTTTCTGGATGTTTGTAGAATATATGTCTTACTTCATATCAAGTCTTCTTCTTTTACTCAATGGAAGTTTGGGATAATCGGATTAGAGTAGCATGTCGTGTCACCGGATCCCTCGATCCTCGCTCTCGTTTTTCGACTAAGGTAAACTCGTAATAGTTCAAGTATATCAAGTTGACGTGTTTATGTGCAGGCGTAACAAAGACTTAACGTCCGTCTAGTGCTTTCAGGTTTCTAATTGTGGCCTAACATTAATCGATTCATAATTTCCATGAAACTCAATCATCTCCACAACCTTTATAATGACAATAGATTATTGATTGTTGGAATTGAACGTTTTGGTTGGTTGTGTAGGCTACTTAATCGTGATCCGTGCTCAAACTATCATCAGTAGTTATAGACGCTGCCTAAAAACAGCTGAGAATTGTGTCCATCTTCTTCTGAATCTTCAGTTTTCATAATTACTCATATACATCTTAGAATTTTGTCTCCTCAAACCATATTTCTCATTGTTACTAAACTTCTTTGGTATTCGCTCATGCTTATTTCATCTCAGTGTGTTCATTTTTAATATGCGAATATGATCGTTTTGTGACTTGTAATCTGATCCAGATTTTTAGGCAAACAATAGGTATAGAGAGGATTTGATTCTGACTGGTTTAGTCTGGTGTGCTGTTATTAACCACTTCAATTCTCCATGTAGAACATACAGTGTTCAACCGCTTAAACTAGTGACCATCATATTGTGACTTGATGGATGAAATTCAGTTGGAATTGAAAAAGAACTAACCAAAAACACAGCATTACTCCCTATTGAGTGATTAATTAAGGTAATTATTTTTAGGGATAGCAAATCAATAGATGAAATAGTGAAACTTCATCAGTTGAGGTGGTTAGGGCATGTGTTACGTATGGCTAACCACCGACTGCCTCGACGAGCTATGTTTTGTGGTATAGGAGTAGGTTGGAAGAAAGCTAGGTGCGGCCAAACCAAAACATGACAGAAATCCATGAAGTTAATGACAAGTAGACTGAGTCATGTTGGTAGATGTAGGCTATCTGGTTGGGGTCCGCGAGACGAAACTCACTAATGGTTAGAGACCTTGAATGACATGGCTCGAAACCGTTTGCAATGGCGCAGATGCATCCACTCCTTGTGTTCTTTTTAATTCTAACCTTCTGAATTCCTCATAATCTCTATCTTTCTCTTTACAAATTTATCCCACTGAATTATACTCTTCGAATCATATCTTCGCTCCCTAATCTTCTCCATTACTGCTAATATACTTCTACTATTGCTATCACTGTTGGATTTGAACTGACAGTTGCGTCTCTGTGCTGATGTGGTATGGTATGGCAACCTGAACTGATGTATTTACATACGAAGTTCTTCGTTGTATCTGTCTGTCTGTCTATTATTTGTAACTTAATCCATAGAGATTAATTCTAGTTGGGAAACCATTTCAAAAAATGTCGATATATTAGATCGATGTTTCCATTCTAATATTGTAAATTGTCATTAGTACCTATCCATAATCCTTCACTATTGCGTTAGGTGGGGTGAGGGGTTGTTCTCAACTGTCAACTAAACAATTTCACCGAACATTCCATTTGGAAACTCATTTTTTTTCCTACTCTTATTCTTTATATGATTTTCATGTGTTTTCGTTATTACATCCATGATTAGATGGTAAAGTTTCTCAAGGTGATGTATTGTTACTCTCACCTGGTGGTGTTAGAGAAGCTTTATTCTCTGATGAATTTTATACAGTTATGTGGGAGAATCGTCGAGGTTTTGCACGTATTTCTTTATTATCTGGACAAGTGAGTCAATTCGTTTTTCGAAAAAAAACTGTATAATCCTTAAAATTTAATTAATAACTGAGTGTTGAGTGTTGTTAGAGACGTTAGATCGCCAGAACTGACTTGATAAAGTTGCTAATTTTGAATGTTGTGTTTTGGCGCATGGGCTGATCATCAGTTGACCTTGAGATTACATTTCCTTGACTGTCATTGGTTGATGTATTATTTTAGTAGGCTATTTTTTGTGGCTCTCTCAATGACATTTCTATGATGTATAAATCAACTAGATTTGTGTGCTTGTCAACCTCTTATTGTCCCTGGGTGCTTTGTAGAATAGACTTTCTACGCCTTGTCAAGCCTTCTTGCTTCTAGTTATCAGTGCCTGGGTCAGTCGGATGAGTTTAGCCTATCGTGTCACTGGATCATTTGACTTCGAGCTCGTTTACTGCGTAAGGTGAACTCGTAGTAGTTTCAAGCAAGGTCTGAGGGCGAAGTCGTACTGCTGACTGTGATGGAGGGGTGTGATAGCAGTAATGTGTTTCCCTCGGACAACCAGCACCTGCAGCGATGCTGCCTTCTCACAAGGAAGGAAGGAAGGGTTAGAAAAGGTCGACCCTAAAAATGTCACACCTTACCCTAACTCACGGATTTCCGTCTCCGTCGGTAAGGGTGCCCACTAAGGGCTTTTATAAAGAGCGGAGCTAATACTCAAGAAACCCTTCATAGAAAGGCCGTGCGTGACCGACCTGAAGCAGTTGTCCCTTGGACTCTGCGATCACGCTCCCAGGTCATTAAGACCAACACTAATCTATCTTCCTTTTCAGGTTCCTCAAGAAACAACTTTCCATGGTGTGGGCAGCCTGGAAGTGACAACCGCCCTCATACCCGTAACAGCACGCGACTGTCTGAGTGTATAGAATTGAGATTTGCCAGGTGAGGGCAACCGAATTGTATTTATCTCAAATTACTGAGTTAGTTCGTAGAATAGGAAAACCATATCGTAGATCGTTAATTTGCAAAATATCAGTCCATCATATCGAACTGTACTGTTCCTGTTGCAAAACATCAATCCATTGTCACTATTCATGAGTTTCATACAAATTTCATTGTTTTCTAACTCTTCCTTTCTTGATCTTCCCCTATCTTCTGCTGCCAGACATCACGTCATGCACTACTTATAAGTAACTCGCACCACACTACTACAATGGGATTTGAATTGACAATCGCGTCTCTTTGTGCTAATGTCATATGGCAATTTGAACACTGATGTACTTACTTAAGCACGAAGTTCTACGTTGTTGCTGACTGACTAACTAACTCTGTAGGCCAGACGACTAGCAACGACAGTCCGCTTAAAATACCCACTTACCAATGAAAAAAATTGATCATTGACACCTCTGGAAATCAATGACGAAGGAGATTATCGGGACAAATGCAAATCCTTACAAATAACATTTGATTTACCGCTAGTGAATGTAAATTGTGAACATTGTTATATTGATTTCTACTCTGACCTCTATTAAGTTTAGAATGTTTTATTGAATAAATTATTGTCTAGTCGATAATTCAGTTTTCCTTAAATTTTAATCTGGAACTATGTAATTGATGAAAATGTTATGCGATCTAGTCTCGGTGTATATAGCCTGTCGATCGATAGGATTAGCCAAGTTTGTGATCGATTGTTCTCGGTCACTATAGTCATATTATTGTATCCTAGTGTTAATGAAAACAAAGACGAAAGGCCAGACTGGATAGAGAGTGTGGCATGTAGTCGGGAAGTATACAACTTATCATAAAACTTTCATGCATTTGCTAAAAGCAAACGTATTCTTGGCTGTCTTCTGTTCTTCAAGTTATTCAGGTTGCACCAAACATTTGGGATACAACACTCTCTCCGGTTTGTCTGTAATCTCATATCGACACTCTGCTGCATATCTATTGCATACTACTTAGAAGCTTTATTGTAAGTATCATATATATGCATTAGTAATATATCGTGAAAATTAGGAAATTTATGATTCTACCATCCTATTTTTGTTGATAGAATGGTTTTTCTAATGAATCTCTCTCTACACATCATACTTGTGTGGATACACTTTGGAGTTGAGTGCAGTAGTTCGCTCCGTCCCACTTACATGGCTAGTAAGTATAGTGAATATTCGTAGGTTAATAGAATTTGATCATAAGTGTCGTCGAAGCATTCCTCGTGTATCCTGAGACAATCGAGTAAGCAGTGCTGTTGTTAAGCAAAGGTTATTAGGTACGGATGGTAGATCAACAGATGAAGTTTTGAAACTTCATCTGCCGAGGTGGTTTGGATATGTGTTGCATTCGCCCAACCCTTGGCTGCCTCGACGAACAATCTTTGCGGTATAGGGGTAGGCTGGAAGAAAGCTAGGAGCAGCCAGAACAAAACATTGCACAAATCCATAAAGTCACTGGCAACTGGTCTGGGCCTGTTAGTAGGTGTAGACTACCAGGTTGGGGTCCGCTAGGTTGATAGTAAGCGAGGGTTAGAGCCTTTGAATGAAATGGCTAAAAATCGTTTACAATGGCGCAGGTGCATCCACTGTTTGTGTTCTCCCAAATTGTAATCCCGATTCCTCATGATCTTCATCTTTCTCTGCTCAAATTTATTTCACGGGATTATGTTACGTATGCAAGTAAACACGTCATCTGATATGTTTGAATTATTACGAGTGTACCTTAGTCGGAAAACGAGAGCGAGGATTGAGGATCCGGCGACACGACAGGCTATTCTAATCCGATTGTCCCAAATCCCCATTGATTAAAAAAAAGAAGACTTGATATGAAGTAGAACCTGTATTCTACAAGCATCCAGAAAGTACAAGTTCCGAGTCCAGAAGAGAATCAGGATCCGGGTTCAGGTCCGGGTCATAAAACGTTATAGATAATGCGTATTTATACATTTAGGTCGATTAGGAAACAACATTGAAGTTTGTGACATTGACAGTTAAGGAGACCAATACGAAACAACATTGAAGTACGTGGCATAGATAGCTAGGACAACCATAATATTGACCAATAGGAATTGACCAATAGAATCAAACTTACAAACGTGATTCAGTCCACCTGTCAGTGACTTCATGGATTTGTGCCATGTTTTAGTTCCCTTCAGCCTACCTCTACACCAGTCATTGAGGCAGTCCGTGGTTGAACATTCGTAACACATGTCCCAATCACCTCATGGAGTACCGGTAACCTGTAGTATAAAATAATTCTTGTATGTTGAATCGAATGTTTAAAATCAATATAAGAAACAAGTTGTCAGATAAGTTAAAATCCGAAAACAATCACAGTCATAAAATTAAATCGTATTGATTTCAGTTAAGTAGTTCTATGCATACAAATGTCTCAAAACTATTTCTTTCTCTCCAAAATTAATCAGTCAATCAATCAACAGCAACGTAGAACTTCGTACGTATGTATGTACATCACTGTTCAAGTTGCCATACCACATTAGCACAAACGGAGATGCAATTGTCAATTCAAATCCTATAATAGTAGGGGTGTAGTGAAAGAGAACACAGGTGGGGCAACCGAATTGTGTATAACGAGAATTACAGAGTTACTCAGTAAAATTGGAAAACCATATCGTATATCGTTCATTCGCAAAATAACAGTTCATCATATCGAACTGGACTGTTCCTGTTGCAAAACATCAATTCATTGTCACTATTCATGCGTTTCATACAAATTCCATTGTGTTCTAACTAACTCTTCCTTTCTTGATCTTCCCCCATCTTCTGCTGCCATACATTACGTTTTTACTCGTGTCATATACTACTTATAAGTAGCTCGCACAACAGCACCACAGGGGTAGTAAAGGTACTAGCAGTAATCGAAGAGATTAGGGTTCGAAGATATTATTCAAGAAGTTGAATCTAGTGAAATAAACTTGAAGAGAAAATTTTGGGGCAAAGTTTTGGAGTTTTGTATATTTACACATTTGAAATCATCAATCAGTCATTATTGTTAGACCACCATTAGAAACCTGGAAGCACTGCAAGACGGCCGTTTCGTCCTGGTATGTGACTCATCAGTGGCAGTGCGCATCCACGACTCCTGCCAAAGATAAATATGTGAGGTCGCGAAAAATCCCTAGATCAATCAGAGTTAGACATTAACACCGTAGGATGACAGCCGGCTCAGTGGTCCGATGGTTAGGTGTTCGCGCACAATACCGAAGGTTCCGGGTTCGAATCCCGTGAGGTGCAGGAGTCATGAATGCGCACTGACTCTAATGAGTCGTATACCAGGACTAAACGGCCGTCCAGTGCTTGTTCCAGGTTTCTAATGTTGGTCTATCGATAATGATTGATTGATGATTTCAAATGGTTAAAGAGAAAAAGATGAAGGTGATGAGGAATTCAGAAGATTACGATTTAAGAGAACACATTCAATGTCTCTAACCAATCGATTCCTATCACATCTCTTCATAAACATGCTATCCATTCATGAAATCATTAACTCAACTTTATATAAGTGATTACATAATGCATTGTTTGTTAATCAAGGCTTAGAAGTTTTTTTTTCAGATAACATGACTTAAAATCAATTGCAGTGTGTGTGTGTGTGTGTGTGACTCAAGTGTTTTTTTCCAATGTTGCACAAATCAATAATTTACATGCTACAATCACATGTATGTTTTAATCGTTTTTTATAACATACAACTATTGTGATTATTCACCCATACTATCCCTAATATTTGTGTTAAATAATTACAGAGTTGAACTACACTATTCACAGCTTCTCACTAGAACTCTGAGAATTTCCTCACAAAGTTAATCACTAGTGAGCGCATTTTGGATCTATCAGAGTTAGACATTAGTGCCATCGGATACTGGCTCAGTGTTTTAAAGGTTAAGCGTTCTCGCATGAAACCAAAAGTCCTGGATTTTATCCTTTCGATTACGAGTCTAGGATACGTACAACTGATGAGTCGTATACTCGGAAGAAATAGCCATCCAATGCTTCAAGGTTTCTAATGGTAGTCTAACAATGATCAATTCATCATTTCAATAAGTATTAAACCTTGCTAGAAAGGTTTCAAATGTATTTTAATTAAGTCAGTCAGTCAGATTCAACATAGAACTTTGTACGTAAGTACATCAGTTCATGTTGCCATACCTTATCAGCACAGAGATATTATTTTCAATTCAAATCCAATAGTAGAAGAGGTAGTAAAGGTATTAGAAGTAAATCAGAGAGGTTAGAATTAGAAGATTTTATTCAAGAAATATGATTCAATGAGATAAGTTTAGAAAGACAAAACTAGAGGTGTTGAAGAATCCAGAAGATTAGGATTTGAGAGAACACAAAGAATAAATGCATCGGCGCCATTGCAAACGATTTTGAGCCATGTCATTCAGAGTTTCTAACCATCGATTATTACCATCTTGCGGATGGTGTAATGTGTGATATATTTCTGACAAGAAATTTCTGTTAACTTGGATCATAGATTAATCGTAGGTAAATAACGATGAAAAGTTAGGGCTCATTGAATTACTGTTTCGTTTTGTTGCGTGCGTTTCCATGAACTTGTCATTTGTCAAAAACACAGTACTCAGGTGTTGCAGTTAACGTTTAACTTTCAGACCTATAGGCTGGAATTCACTTGGTTGACATTTCTAATATCAATCAATCTGCGATATTGTGCAACTACCATCCAATGATACTGATTGGTGTTTGTTGCACTGATAACTTAATAGAACTCAAATGATCACAGTTTCTTACTAGAACTGTGTGAAGTATCTGTCAAACTAGTCATGTGGTATGAATGTAGACGATAACTGAAGAGAAGACTCCAAATAGTGTAATGAATGAAGAAATTATAGAACAGTTTACTAGCAAAATGTGTACACCTTTACCAACAGAATTCATTTGTAAAATAAACACATTCTTGGCTGCCTTCTAGTCTTTTCGGTTCCAATACTCTCCTATTTAGCTCTAACTTCAAGGCAACACTCCGCTACTTGCTATTTAATGTTGGGTATGTTAGATCCCCAAAACTCGCTTGATAAATGCCTTATTTTGGATTTCACTTCTGCGAGCATGGGCTGATCAGTTGAGCTTGAGATTTCATTTCCCATCAGGAAAATCCTTAGCTGTGATTGGCTGCTGTGTATTTTGGTGTGCTATTTTCGTAACCGTCATAAGGACGTTTCTATGATGTATAAATAAACGAGATTTGTGTGCTTGATTGTATTATGATTGCTGTGTGTTTGTAGAATATACTTTCTACACTTATCAAGACTTCTGTTTTGCAGTTTGGGATTCAAGTTAGCCTACCTGGGCGCTGGTTCATTGTCTCTTTCACGTTTTATCGACTAAGGTGAACTCGTGAATAGCTTCAAGCGTACCTAGTGACGAGCGTAACAATGATAAAACTCAATTTGAACATGCATAATACTCACATACTGTTGAAGAGTTATAAATCTCTAAGATTTTGTATAACTTGTCAATAATATGTCATACTGTAGTGAAGGAGAACACAGGTGAGGGCAACCGAATTGTAGTATTTAACGAAAATTACAGAGTTACTCAGTATAAAATAGGAAAACCATATCGTAAATCGTTGTTAATTTGCGCAAATCTTCAATCCATCATCAATCCATTGTTGTCTGATATTTCACTCACTATTCATGCGTTTCATACAAATCCCATTTTTGTGTTCCCACTCTTCTTACTTTCTTGATCTTCCTCCATCTTTTGCTGCTGCCAGACATTATGTTTACACTCACGTCATATACTACTTATAAGTAGCGCGCACCACAATACATTCTTTGTTTCCTTCCGTACACATTCAGTATAGATTTTACAAGTTTGAGAAAATAAAATGAATTCATTTGTGTTACTATTAAAAAATTCTTCTATTCTTCTTTTATTTTTAATTATTTTCAGCCGATTTATCCAATGTTTACAGAGAATATTCGTGAAACTATTAGAATTGTACAATTTGGCAAAAGTAACAATCATAATAATAATTATTCTTCCCTTAGATTGGTGGCGTTATTTATATGAACGTACACGATTACCTATAGTGATATTTTATGGTTATTTCCCCGTGAAATTAAGGTAAATTTGTAATTGGTAATTAGTAATTCATGTATTGATTATGTGGTGTGATAGAGAAGGCTCGATTGGCTTTTGCCAACATGTTGTGTCACTTATGGCGCAGGCAAGATATCCGTTTTCTAACCAAAGAATGAGTGTATTGTGCAGCAGTTCGCTCTATCCTACTGTACGGATGCGAAACATGGCCGTTAAGAGTAGAAGATATTCGTAGGTTACTAGTATTTGATCATCGGTGTCTTCGAAGCATCGCTCGTGTATCATGGGACAACCGAATAAGCAATGCTGTCGTTAGGAAAGGAGTTCTAGGTAAGGATGGCAAATCAATTGATGAAGTAGTGAAACTTCATCAGTTAAGGTGGTTGGGACATGTGTTACGTATGCCTAACCACCGACTGCCTCGACGAGCTGTGTTTTGTGGTGTAGGAGTAGGTTGGAAGAAAGTTAGGGGCGGCCAAACCAAAACATGGCAGAAATCCATGAAGTCACTTACAAGTGGACTGAGTCATGTTGGTAGATGTAGGCTACGTGGTTGGGGTCCGCGAGACGATAGCCACCAATTGTTAGAGACATTGAACGATATGTCTGAAAATCGTTTGCAATGAATGGCGCAAGTGCATCCATTCTTTGTGCTCTCTCAAATCCTAATCTTCTGGATTCGCAGCACATCTACCTTTGTCTTACTAATCTTATCTCACTGAATTATACTTCATGAATAATATCTTCAAACCCCCTTAGTCTTCTTCATTACCATTAATACCTCTACTATCTTCCTATCACTATGAGATTTGATTTGACAATTGCATCTCTCTGTGCTAATGTGGTATGGCAACCTGAACTAATGTACTTAAGTACGAATTTCTGCGTTGCAACTGACTGACTGACTAACACATGTCATCTATACATTATGCAATTAAGTTTTTTAATTTTATGATTCGATCTAATTCTTAACTTTCATATGTAGTTGTGTATGTATATTTTTCGTATATATATATATATTCCATCTTTAATTTTCTTTTTAAAAACAATAAAAATCAATATTTCTTTCAGATCATACATTGGTGATCCAATTTATCCTTTGCCAAATGAAACCTGTGATGAATTAGCTAGTCGTGTAAGTGTTGGTGTATGCTTCATTTTTTTTATTTACAAAAATCAATTAATTCACTCCCTAAATCATCTGTCAAGTTTTGTCATAAAAAAATCAATACATGACCATAGTAGTATAATGACATAATGTATTGATCGTTGTTGGATCAGCATCATTAAGAAGAAGAAATCTGCTGGAGTTAGACGACCATTTTGTCCTTGTATTAAGACTCATTGGCGGTATACATTTGTTGTTATGCCTGCACGTAAACACGTCAACTTGATATACTTGAACTATTACGAGTTGTTTACCTTAGTCAGAAAACGAGAGCGAGGATCGAGAATCTGGCGACACGACATGCTACACTCAAATCCGATTATTCCAAACCCCCATATTGAGTAAAAATAAGAAGACGTGATATGAAGTAGAACCTGTATTCTACAAGCATCCAGAAAGTACGAGTTCCGAGTTCAGAAGAGAATCAGGATTCCAGACTAGGGATCCGGTACCGGGTCCTGGTCGTGGTCATAAAACGTTACAGATAATGCGTATTTATACATTTTGGTCGAATGACAAACAGCATCGGAGTCTGTGACATTGAAGAGTTAAGACGACCAATAGGAAATAACATTTGAAATGACATTGACAGTGCGGATGACCAATAAGAGACAACATTGAAGTATTTGACTTTGACAGTTAAAACGACCGTAATTTTGACCAATAAAAATCGACCAATAGGATTTGACCAATAATAATTCTCTTAGGATATTGGATGAATATCCTAACAACATTCACCAACTCCGCTCATGGAAAGCGAACTCAGGACCTTCGGTCTCAATTTAACTTCAATCAATCCGCAGTATTGCTCAACCTCTCACCCATTGTCTTCGATAAGTGGTAACTGCTTACACTTGACAGGGTTTAACTCCACTGGTCACGTCTTCTCACTAGCACACTGAGAATTTCCTCATGAAACTTAGTCATTAGCGATTACATTTTTATGATTTTAACTATAAGAGTCGTAGAAATTGTTGAGTTTCAGTGAAATCATGAATTGATCATCGTTAGATTACTACTAGAAACATGAAAGCACTGGACTGTCGTTTCGCCATATTATAGGAAAAATCAACAGTACGTATCCATGAGCCCCGTATGCAGGAATCCAACCCCAGGACATTCGGTTTTGCACGCGAGAACCCTTAACTCGTAGACCACTGAGCTGACATCTAATGATGTTTATGTCCTAATTCAAATCAATCTGAATTATCACGCAATCTTACTCATTACCTTCGTTAGGTAACTGCCTACAACCGACAGGGTTGAACTCCACTAGTCACGGTCATGGTATGATGTTTGAACATTCTAATTTTTGGATATCATATTTCACCAGTTAGATAATGATGGTGAATTTGTTACATATATGTGCACCGGTTTAAGTCTTCGTATCACCTACTGAAGTAGTAATAGTTCTAATGGTGTAATCAACAAGGATCTTAAGTGTTTGATTTTGAAGAAGTCCCAGTTTACTAGCAGACTGTGCACACCTCCGTCTTCAGATTTCCATTTGCTAAACAAACAAATCCTTGACTGTCTTCTTTCACATGTCTTGAAAGCTGTTCATCGTGCTATACGTACTATTCCCTCTATTAGTAACTTCTAGACAACACACCACTGTATACTACTTATAGGCTACGTTATGAGTAGTATAGACTACAGTGGTAATATTAAAAATTTACTGAAGTTATGATTCTCGTAAAAACGAGCGTTGCAGTAGGCGATAGTTGAGTATACATAATACACATTCCAACCATTTTAATCAATGAATAATCACGATCTGATCAAGTGATTTTATATTTTTACCTACGGCCTTTTAGAATTGCTCATTCAATCAGTCAATCAATAGCAACGTAGAACGTCGTACTTAAGTACATCAGTTCAAGTCGCCATACAACATTATCACACTGGGATGTAATTGTCCATTCAAATCCCATAGTGGTAGTAGAGGTGGTAAAGGTATTATCTGACAACCAGAATCATTCCACGATCTAGACAGCTGGGAAGTTTTACATCTGCCCTCATACCATCCATAAAAGCATACGAGACCAAATCGATCACAATCAATAGAATTGCTCATTCACTAGCTTTAATATATACGCATGCAGTGCTCCGAAGGCACTTATCATTCTATATTAACAACCTATGAATATCCCCTATTTTAAAAGTGATGTTTAAGTGCTATAAAGTAGGACGAAATAAACTTCTCAAACTAACTGCCAAAACTGGATCAACATCATCCTTAACGATTTCTGGGTAGTAATCTATCAGTATCAGATCCTTTTTGCTGTTTATTTCTTTAAATTAGCTATAGATTTTCAAAATTCATTAATAATAGGAGATCTTGTATGGATGTTCAATTTAGGTTGATGGTAACAGTAGGCAAATGTAAGGTAAGGTAGTATGGAACTTGTTCTTTAGTCCGACCGTAGCTGTTACCTTGACGTGGTGGTCGGGTTTGCCTATCGTGATGACACAAGCGAGCTATACTGGCTGGAACATATGTTCCTGAAGGTTCTACCATGCCAGGCAGGTCGATTGGAGAACGATGAGATTAAAAGCAGCTACTCAAGGTCTGAGGGTGAAGTCGTACTGCTGACTGTGATGGAGGGGTGTGACAGCAGTAATGTGTTTCCCTCGGACAACCAGCATCTGCAGTGATGCTTCCTTCTCACAAGGAAGGAAGGAAGGGTTAGAAAAGGTCGACCCTAAAAATGTCACACCTCCTATAACTCACGGATTTCCGTCTCCTTGGGTAAGGGTGCCCACTAAGGGCCTTTAAGAACGGAGCTAATACTCAAGAGACCCTTCATAGAAAGGCCGTGCGTGACCGGCCTGAAGCAGTTTTCCCTTGGGCTCTGCGGTCACGCATCCAGGTCTCTAAGACCAACTCTAATTTATCTTCCTTTTCAGGTTCCTCATAAACAACCTTCCACGGTGTGTGCAGCCGGGAAGTGACAACCGCCCTCATACCCGTAACAGCACGCGAGACCGAATCGGTCAAAATCAAATCCTTCTTACACCCCCATATTACCTCTCTTATGTCCACGACTAACTCTTCTCACATTCCTTTATTTCCCCGTATCTCTGCTGCAAACGATGCGAGTTCACGAAACGTCATTCCTGGTCTCTTGAAACCTCGTTCTAGACTACATGTTGGAGCATTTAATGTACGGACATTGTGTCAAATAGGGCAATAGGCATCATTAGCTAGGACTTTAGAATCTCGCTCAATCGATGTATGCTGCGTCTCGGAAACGCGTATACAGGATCCTATTAAAATTATTAATCTGTTCTTTAGAGAGTGTTCAGTCTGAAAGTGGATCAATGTTTCATCTTTTATCGAATTAATCTCACGAACTTGTGAATTTCCATTGTATAAGTTTCTTTGACAAGCCTAAGAAGCTGTATACTGTCACTGCCATTTCAACCTACTTTCTTCGCATTGGTGTTGTGTCCGTCACTCTAACCAATAGACATAGGATCTATTAACTAACCAAAAGGTCCTATTAAAGATGACAAACTTACTATTCAATGCGTTTGAAGGATAGCTCTACTAGGAAGAACAAATATCACTGACTGTCCACCACCAGTCCGACATTCGTTATTATATTTCAAACATTTCACTTTCTAATACACATACTAAACTAAAAATCACATTACATCACTTAAATAGAAATTAACAAATGTACATAAGTGAACCAGAAATTGGCTGTAGTCAGTCAGTCTGTTACAGTGTAGAAGAATTTTGTACGTACGTACATCAGTTCAAGTTGACATAGCACATTAGCACACAAAGATACAATTGTCAATTCATGGATGGTGGTTAGGGAGTGGAGTTGACATTAAGCTCGTAAGATTTTTCAAGGGTTGACCTTATACCAGGTAAGTCGCTTACTGATCTAGAATATGCCGATGACATAGTTCTATTCGGTGAAGACGCTGACAAAATGCAGAGTCTTTTGTCTACCATAAGTAATAATGCAAGCATGTTCGGGATACGGTTCTCCACCCTCGAAATGCAAAATGTTGCTTCAAGACTGGGTTGCATCGGCACCTGGACTAGTGATAGGTAGTGAAGTAGTCGAGCGTGTAGACCGCTTCACTTTTCTGGGGAGTCTCATCAGTGCTGATAGCCTGGTGACTGACGAAATCTCAACGCGAATACAGAAAGCTCGGTTTGCTTTTGTCAATTTACGCCGTTTATGGCGTAGGCGAGATATCCGTTTGCTGAATAAAGGACGAGTGTACTGCGCAGTGGTTCGCTCCGTCTTAATTTATGGCTGTGAAACATGGCCAGTGAGAGTAGAATATATTCGTAGGTTACTAGTCTTCGATCATCGATGTCTCCGAAGCATTGTTCGTGTATCCTGGGACGACCGAATAAGCAATACTATCGTTAGGAAACGAGTTCTAGGTAAGGATGGCAAATCAATAGATGTAGTAGTGAAATTTCTTCAGTTGAGGGGGTTGGGACATGTGTTACGAATGCCTAACCACCGACTGCCTCGACAAGTTATGCTTTGTGGTGTAGGAGAAGGTTGGGAGAAAGTTAGGTGCGGCCTGACGAAAACGTGGCAAAATTCATGAAGTCACTGACAAGTGGACTGATGCATGTTGGTAGATGTAGACTACGTGGTTGGGGTCCGCGAGACGAAAGTCACCAGTGGTTAGAGACGTTGAATGACATGACTCAGAATCGTTTGCAATGGCGCCAGTGCATCCATTCATTGTGCTCTCTCAAATCCTAATCTTCGGGATTCGTCAGCACCTCTACCTTTGTCTTTCTAACCTTATCTCACTGAATTCTACTTCTTGAATAATATCTTCAAACCCTAGTCTTCTTCATTACCACTAATACCTCTACTATCACTATCACTATGGGATTTGATTTGACATTCGCGTCTCTGTGCTGATGTGCTATGACAACCTGAACTAATGTACTAAAGTACGAAGTTCTACGTTGCAACTGACTGATTGAGTGGAAAGCTTAAGATACGAAGAGTGTATATAGTCTAGTTACGTAATAAATTTGCAATCATTATATAGAAATAAGACCTTAGAAAAATTGCTACCACAGTTTGTTATCTCGTATTTAATTTGTCCCTTACAACAACTATCCACTATTTTCACACAACAACAAACGCATTATATCACAGAATAAAATGTTTACAGTGGCGCGTTAAGCTCTATCAACAAATTAGTTTGGATACTATTTCAAAAACCTGAGGGCGATTCCCCTAGCACTATGAGTAAATGCCACTTCTCAAAGAACCTAAAATCAGTGTAAGCGATAATTTTGATGACCTGCACGGTGTGTGAAATCTGCATAGCTCAAGGAACAAGTGCTTATAGCTGGTACTGGGTCATTGATACTCTTTTATTGAACAATATTCCTGTCTGCACACAAAAATGCTTAAATCTCATCTTATCTTGTTGTTCATTGTCCATTTAGGTTCGTGTATCCATTGAAGAACTTATCCGTAAACATCAATTAATACCATCAAATCTATTTTGTGCTCTAATGCAACGATTTCCTCTATTTGATCGTTGGTTAACCAAATATAAACAGAAACAATCTCATCGGTAAAAGCAAGCAAGCAAGCAAATAAGATTGAATCAATTTTCTCTCCTGGCAAATAATGTCTTCTCTTTTAAACTTTTATTTCAAATAAACAATGAGTGGTTCAATGTACAAATAAATTTTGTATTTTGGAAGAAAAAAATTAATCAATATTATTATTATTTTAAACAAAGTTGCATTTACTTTGCTAATATTATTTTAAGGCTTCTTCATTGATTGATTATTGTCGAGAATAAGTTAAGTTGCAATATGCCGTATAAATGATATGATTTATGTGAATCTTAGAGTTTCATTTTCAATGTCGATACACAATTCTTATTTACACGCTTGTTACCTCCAATGGAGTATAGGCCGCTAACCATCACTCTGTCCTGAGCTTCCCTTTCCAATTCTGTCCAATGTTTGTTCATTCTTCTCATGTCTTTCTCTATTTCTCAGCGTAGTGTGTTCTTTGGCCTTTCTCTTTTCCTTTTGCCTTGAGGATTCTATGTGAGGGCTTGTCTTATGAGGCAGCTGGGTGATTTCCGCAGTGTGTCCTATTCACTTCCAGCGCACCTGCATGATTTCTTCCTCCACTGGAATCTGGTTTGTTCTCTCCCACAGTACGTTGTTGCTGATCGTGTCTGGCCAACGAATACGAAGTATTTTGCGTAGACAACTGTTGATAAATACTATGATCTTCTGGATGATGGTTTTCGTAGTTCTCCAAGTTTTTCTGCTCCATACAGTAGAACTGTCTTGACATTTGTATTGAAAATCATGATTTCGGTGTTGATTGATATTTGTTTGGAGTTCCGCATGTTTGTCAATTGTAGAAATGCAGCCCCTTGCTTTGTCTATCCGCGCCCTCGCATCTGCATCGGATCCACCTTGATTGTCGATGATGCTGCCAAGATATGTAAAGGTGTTAACGTCCTCCGAGGCATGTCCATCAAGAGTGATTTGGTTGGCGCATGTTGTGCTGTATCGTAGAATCTTGCTGTTCCCTTTATGTATGTTGAGACCTTCAGTTGCTGCTACACTGGTCGTCTTCTCTTGCATTTGTTGTTGCGTGTGCGATAGAATAGCCAGATCATCTGCGAAGTACAAATCGTCCAGCTGCACTCTAGCTGTTCATTGGATACAATGCTTTTCTCCGGATATTGACGTCTTCATAATCCAGTCGATCACCAGGAGAAAGAGAAACGGTGAGAGTAAGCAATCTTGCTTGACACCGGTCTTCACCTCGAACGAGTCTGTTAGCTTGTCCTTCGTGTACGATTTTGCAGTTTAATCCATCATAAGAATTCCGCATAATGTTAACTATCTTCTCAGGTTGATATGAACTTAAGATGGATGAAGATTAAGGGATTGTTAAACGACGCGTCTCAAGATCATTAAAGTTCAACTTAATCTGTGATTGTTTTAAGAGAGTAAACAATGGAAAATATCATTCCAGGGAAATAGAATAGACCTCTATCCTTTATGAGATGGCACCAGTCTGTGCAGTGATTAGCAATTGATCTGAGCGATGTTGTTATTGTGCGGGCGGACCTATTTACTTGAAACTATATAATAACTACGAACAGTAGTAGTTGGAAACAAAGCATGCGAGGACTTACAAAAGAGCATGTTTATATTTATTCATTGTTTTCTTTCAGATTTTGAATAATTTTTCTAAAATTTATTTAGTCTGTGTACTTATTTATCTTGCTAAATCTTATCTCTCTCTGTCGTATAATGTGTGCGATATCAGCTTTCTTCTGGATGATGACTCATTAATATGAATTCTCCTGTATCGACCAACTCAACATTAACAGATAAACTGATGACTATCGGAGTATCTCTTGACTGCTGCAAATTTTTATTGGGGCAAGATTTGAACCTAACTACCACAACTAACTGATTGAATGACTAAGTGCTTCAATCAATAAACTATGGTAGTTATTCTCATTCTATTTCGGAATTAGTTACAAAATTTTCAAACGTATAGTAAGTGCATAATAACAGAGTAGTTTTATGTTCGGTAATGTATAGATAGATAGTCATGTAGTTGGACACCATTCAAATCAATGTAGAAATATTTGAGTATAAATGAACACTACTGAATAATAATAGTAAGTAGTACAATTTAGACAAGGTGTGGCTACACTAATGGCAAATATTTTCAATTATGTCGCTACAATAAGCTTGTACATATTTGCTTGTGGAAATCCTGACTTCTAGTTGAAGCCTTTCCTAATTTTATTTAAGCTAGGCTAACATTTGATATTTTTACAATATAGAAACTGTCTTAATTTTGAGTTGTTTCATTGATATTCTTAATTGGATTTTTCTCTCCGTCTAAGCTGGCATATTTGCATCCTGTGGGGATGTTACGCCTGAACGTAATACGTCAACTTGATATACTTCAACTATTGCAGGTTTACTTAGTCAGAAAACTAGAGCGAGGATCCGGCGACACGACATCCTACTCAAATCCGGTTATCCCAACCCCCATATTTAGTAAAAATAAGACTTGATATGAAGTAGAACATATATTCTACAAGTATCCAGAAAGTACGAGGTCCGAATCCAAAAGAGAATCAGGATCCCGGACTATGTGCCCGGGACCGAGCCCTGGTCATAAAACGTGACAAATAATGCGTATTTATACATTTTGGTCGAATAGGAAACAGAATCGAATTCTGTGACATTGACAGTTAAGACGACCAATAGGAAGTAACATTTGAAGTGACATTGATATCCACTAGGACGATCATAAAATTGGCCAGTAGAAATTGATCAATAATTTTCTTAGGATATTGGATCAATATCCTAACAGAGGACTACTTCAGATATCGTAGGTTTAGTCAAAGAGATGAATCCCCGAATAAATATCAAGTCTAGCATCCAGCTAACGAAATGCGAACATCAAAGTTACTGTTTTAAGGCTAATGTGTTTGTTTGAACAATGTGTTGGTGTTGAAATCTCATTTCTACCGACTATGTATGATCACGTAGAGCAAGGTCGACATCTCAGTCGATGCGCCAGAGCATGTGTATACAAATATGATGATGAATCCCAGTGATGCTGAGGATGCACGCGTGTATGACAATTTCATTTGTAGCTAAAATCGTGGAAGACTTTGTTAGAAAGTTCAAAAAGAATCCAAATCAGCGTCGAGACTTCTGACAGCTTAGAAGATGAACTACCGAGTTCAAAGTGTAACCTACAACTATCATTCACTTGATGTGTGATAATGCAGAGGATACCTCTAACAAGTAGTGAAAATATCTGGAATTTATGAGTAAGTACGATATAGATCGAGTGTGAAAACATGCAAAATATCTTCGCGTCCTAAGATTGAGTTTTTTTTATATCACCTCAGATCGTCACTTTCTCATCGCCAAGATAAAAATGAAACTCCGGAAGCACTTGGCAACGGGGCGAATAACATCACGGAATTTTAATACAGACTTTCTTCGGGATACTGACATACTCAACGAATTCAAGATAGCCCTCAGAAATAGATTTCAAGCTTTGCACAATCTACTCAATAGAGAGGAAACAACTATGGAGAACAATTGGAAAGGGACCAAAGAGGCAATCACTTCAACATATCAGGAGGTTCTGGGCCACAGGAAGTACCATCAAAAGGAATGAATCTCTGTTGGTAATCTTGATAAAATTCAAGAAGGGAGGAACAAGGAGGCAGCAATAAACATCAGCCGAACAAGAGCAGAGAAATCCAAGGCACAAGCTGAAACACATAGAAGCAAACACACAAGTGAAAAGGAGCACCAAAGTTGGCAGACGGAAATGTGTGGAAGATCTAGCAATGACGGCAGAACGACCAGTGAGAAGCAAGGAAGGTACAGTAATCACCAACATTGAAGAACAGCGAAACAAGTGGGTAGAGCACTTCGAAGAACTTTTGAACCGATCAGCCCCACTGAACCCTACCAACATCAAAGCAGCAGTCACGGACCTCTCAATTGATGTTGGCCCACCAACAATGAAAGAGATCAGCATGGCCATCAGACAAATCAAGAGCGGCAAAGAAACGGGACCAGACAATATTCCGGCAGAGGCAATGAAAACAGACGAAGAAGTAACTGTAAAAACATCCCATATTCTCTTTCACAGGATTCAAGATAAAAGACAAGTACCAACAGACAGGAAAGAAGGATACCTCGTCAAAATACCAAAGGCGATCTCAGCAAGTGTAAGAACTACAAAGGTATCACTCTTCTCTCAATACCAACAAAAATCTTCAACAGAATATTGTTAAACAGAATGAAGTACTCCGTGGACGCTCAACTTCCAGGTCGACAGGCTGGATTCCGTAAAGATCGATCATGTACCGACAAAACTGCGGCATTACGGGACATTGTAGAACAATCAATTCAATGGAACTCATCATTCTACATTCACTTCATTGACTATGAGAAATCATTCAACAACGTGGACAAGATGATACTATGGAGGCTTCTTCAACACTGCGGTGTACCTGAGGAGATAGAGAAAACTGGAAAGGAAGGCGTAGGACACAGTGGGCTGGAGAATGCTTGTGGGCGGCCTATGCTTCACCGAAGGGTAACATGAGTAAAAAATTCTAAGATTTATAGCATTTACACAGTGAATCGATGGGCAAAGCTTCCATTTTCTTTTAATCTTCTCTCAATACATCATATAAAATAGATTGAATGTCAGGGATCAAGTGTAGCGCGTACAAATCCTTAGGTAGAACAATACATATACATATTCACACAGCTGATTATCAGCATTCTTTCTGCAACATAATTCAACTTGATTGACAATAAAAATACCACCACTAAGCGTAATTATTCATCATTTGGAAAACTAATTAATACAAAGCGTTAAAATAAAATCGAATTTATTTTTACATTTTCTAACTTACTTAATTTACAGAAAATTTATCAAAAATTCAACCACCAATCAACAATATTCAACATGATTGACAAGTTGAATATTATTTACACAGTCAATTTACATGCACACACACACACAAATACTGCTGCTACTATCAATACTACTGATAATAATAATACTAGTAGTATTGTTGATTATTTTCGCATTTTACGTTGTTGTTTTTCTAATTTCTGTGCTTGTTTCGCATGATATTGTTCACGTTTTACGGCTTCTTTAGCATACCATGTAAGTTGATCTTCCATTGGTGCTTGTAATGTTTCTAGTTTACGTTCTTCAACAATTTCATTAAATAGCTGTTTCATTAAATTTTTAGCTTCAATAGTTTTATTCTCTGGATTGTTAGCATCTTCAACTACTAACATACTTAAATCATTCAATAAATTTGTTAGCGTTTTGTTTTTACGATTGTAGAATTCTGATTCTGATGATAAAAGTTTTGCTTTCAACACAGCAAGTTTAGTAAGACGTTTCTGAAATTTGTTTAAACAAACAAACAGAATAGAGTCAAAACATAAACAATGTAAATTATGAATTAATGGTTGGGTAGGTAGAGTGCTGGTGAGATTATTTTCAAAATAAAACTAACAAGACGCAACTGTCACTTCAAATCCAAGAGTGATAGTGATAGTAGAATTATTAGCAGTCATGGAGAAGATTAGGGAGCAAAGATATGATTCAGTGAGAAAAATTTAGAAGGAGAAAGATAGAGATTATGAGGGATTCAGAAGGTTAGAATTCAAAAGAACACAAAGAGTGGATGCACATGCGCCATTGCAAACGATTCTCAGTCATGTCATTCAAGGTCTCTAACCATCCATTATTATCATCTCGCGGACACCAACAAGGTAGTCTACATCTACCAACATGACTCAGTCCACTAGTCAGTGACTTCATGGATTTCTGCCATGTTTCGGTTTGGCCGCCCCTAGTTTTCTTACAACCTACTCCTACACTACAAAACATAGCTCGTCTCAGTAGTCGGTGGTTAGGCATACGTAACACATGTCCCAACCACCTCAACTGATGAAGTTTCAATACTTCATCTATTGATTTGCCATCCTTACCTAGAACTCGTTTCCTAACGACAGCATTGCTTATACGGTTGTCCCATGATACACGAGCAATGCTTCGAAGACATCTATGATCGAAGACTAGTAACCTACGAAATTCCTCTACTCTTAACGGCCATGTTCCGCATCCGTATAGAAGGATGGAGCGAACCACTGCACAGTACACTCGTCCTTTCGTTAGTAGACGGATATCTCGCTTGCGCCATAAGTGACACAGGTTGGAAAAAGCCAACCGAGCCTTATGTATCCGTGCTGAGATTTCGTCAGTCACCAGGCCATCAGCACTGATGAGACACCCGAGATACGTGTAGCGGTCTACACCTTCGACTACTTCACTTCCTATCACTAGTTTCGGTGAATAAATGGATTAGAGCCTATGAAGCCAAAATACAACAGTCGTTCATTAGACTTTTTTGGCGGGAATTAAGGTGTATTTTTCAAAAAAAATGTTAAATTTAATGACTGGATGCAAATTAAAAGTTTGTAATAGTTTTTGACAAACTTTACTAAAAACAAAAGTGAAAATATTTGAAATAGAACAATAGAACGGTGTAATTCATGAAGTCTTAGTCAAAACATAATTCTACTGCAAACGATGAGTTTCTATTCATAGAGTGTATTTCAGATATGTTAAATTGCTAGTAGCAGTCAGTCAGTGGGCTGCAATATAGGACTTTGTATGTACGTACGTATATCAGTTCAAGTTGCCATACTGCATTGGTGCAGAGAGATCAAACTGTCAATTCAATCTTCATAGTAGTAGAGGTTGTAACAGTACTAGCTGTAGTCGAAAATATTAGTAGTTGAATACATGATTCGAGAAGTACATTCTAATGAAATAAATCTTAAAATATGGAGGAAGAGTCACGTAGGAATTTAGAAGATCAGAATTTCAGTGAAGACAAACAATGGATTCATCTGCGCCATTGCAAACGATTTTGAGCCATGTCATTCAAAGTGTCTAGCCACCGGTTGCGACTGACTCAGTTCAGCTGCTGGTGACTTCACGGATTTTCCCAATGTTTTGGTTTGGCCCACACTAGCTTTTTTAAGCCAACTCCTTGTTACGAATACACGTAAACATGTCATTTGATATGCTTGAACTAGTACGAGTTTACCTTAGTTGGAAAACGAGAGCGAGGATCCGGCGACACGACATGCTATTCAAATCCGATTATCCCAACCTCCATATTGAATAATATTAAGACTTGATATGAAGTAGAACATGTATTTTATAAGCATCCAGAAAGTACGAGGTCCGGGTCCAGAAGAGAATCAGGATCCTGGACTAGGGATCCGCGTCCTGGTCCAGGTCATAAAATGTTACAGATAATGCGTATTTATACAGTTATATCGAATAAGAATCAACACTGAGGTCTGTAACTAATAGAACTGGACTTACAAACAATTATCTTAGGATATTTGATAAATATCCCCATACTCCTACATCAGACAATATTGCTCAATTGCCAATATATTCAAATAAGCTTAACAATTCAACATAAAATAACATTAATATTGAAAACATTTTTAAATTAACTAAAAAAGGAAATATCTCACCTGATAGCATTCATGACGAAAAGAAATTTTACGTTGAACAACTGGATCATTCGTAGGTAATCGATAAGGATCCACATGTTCATAACCGGTAATTTTTAAAGCAGATGTAATTCTATGAAATTCAGGTAGATTTGTTGCACGCAATAGTCTTAAATCACGTTTTCGTGCATTTAAAAGACATCTAGTAGCCAGTCTTAATGTAACACACTGTAAATATAAATAAAGTCACTGCATTACAAATAATTCTTACACGTGGTTGTTCTTTTAAACGCCATTTCTTATAACGTAATTCTAATGTCATTCGAACAACTTTTCAAAATTATTAATCATGGTGTAAAATGCTTACTTTTTGCAGCTAAACAATCGTCTGTTGGCTTAAAACCTAAACTTTCCAATGTTTTAATAACATTCTCTTCATATTCTTGTTTCTAGCACAAAAAACAGTTATTAGATATATATATATATAATATACTACTTTAGGAACAAAAGCATATGTAAACATAGCTTTGCAACGTTCATCCAATCTAATCAGAGTGAATTGGTTGATGAAAAAAAAGATGTTATTAGCTAAAGAGAATACCTTTGAAAATCTTCTAAAGATTTAATAGACGAAATATATTCATTTTTAGCTTTCGGCTGGTACGGTTCATTTTCCCCTAGTATTTAATGAAAAATAATAGAAAAGTATAACTTACAATCTTTGTCAAAAGTTATTGGAGTTTTAGGTGGGGTATAAACACGAGGTGTACGTAAAAAATGTACATACCATCGATTTAAGAAGGATGTCGTACCTAAACGAAAAGATTAGACTTAAGAAAATGAAGTAGTATAACTTACAAATATAATTTTTACATTCTGAAGAATTGAACAAACTTTGTATAGTCGAAAATCTCCAAAGAAGACTATTTGATTTCAACATAATGAAATATATTTTCTTTAACAACACATTTGAATAGGTTTAACAGATAAAATAATTCTAAACAATTGAAGCCATTACTTTGTGATGAACAATTTCTAAATAAGTAGAAATAATTATTGAATTCTTTTGGTTTTATACATTTAAGAGTAGATCATGTTTTTTTAAGATACTAGTCCAATAAATAGTGGCCAATAATTTGACAGTTTTCATCTCATATTTTACTCAGATTCTATTGTGCAACAATCAGTTGAGTATTTCTCTATTTGTAATGAGAGTTTGCACTTATAAGCCTCAATCAAGTAAAAATCACTCAAAACGTTTCAAATCATTTTCACCGAGTCTATTTTGACTACGCGGTTACGAATAACCAAGGTATACATGAATATATAAACTTATAGTATCATGTTACATGGTTTATAATGATAACATAATATTTTCCTTCATTTTTTAGACACCGGTAATTCTATATAAACTATTTAAGCTTATAATGAGTTAGGTGCTAAAAAGTTGGACCACTTTGCTTAAAATCGCCCCCATTTTGAACTTCGCCACGAAGCCAATGAACCAAGATAATATAAAACCAACTCTAAAAGTTCCTTCTCTAAGATGGTGATTCAGATCTCTTGGTTTGTGTTCAGAAGGCCAGTAATAGAGGAATTTTGGAGATTTAAGGAAATGATGTCTTGAAAACTTTATCCTAGAGTCGATTTGAATAATATCCCAATAATCATGTGTAAGATCCTAAAAGAAAATGTTTCGCGTGATATAATATATCGTTTTATAAATTGTTATACCAGTTAAGATAACAAAAATTAAGGTTAAGCTTGTAAGACTGAAAATTTTCCTATAGACAAGAAGCACGAATCAATTTAGGTTAGGGATTAGTGCTCAGAATTACGGTCAGTATTTATAGCTCACAGTGCAAACTGATATTATCTACAATAAACGGATCAGAAGTCGTAGTTTAACCTCAACCTTACCAGTTCTGTATTATTAGTACAGGATTTCTAATGCATCAACTTAGAGTATATCGATATGAACATATTAAACTGCGAAGCAAGATAGCATTTCGTACATAAAAACCTCCCTTCTGAACATAAAACGTAGAATATGGTTGACTATCCTCATGTACATTTGTTAAACTATGTGACAGACAATAGCATACGGCTATAAAATTTCTTTTAACGAGGCATGAACAAACATATTTACAATCAGCGGCTGAAAATTTTTGTTAGACAGAAAAAGGAGGGAAAGCCGAGAAATGTTGAAACATACTGCACAAATGTGATGTAACGCAAATAAACGTAAACGCCTCCCTTCAATACTCAATATCCAATATCTTTTCACGAGCTAGTGCAAACCATTTTGATTTCTTTGTGCTCGATTCTCGTCCTTTTGGTGCAGTTTCAGGTGTTCGGTAGTGTCCAATGGATGGAGGTCTAGCCGCTCGAAAATCTAATTCTAGTCAGTTGGCAGTTGGTTGTGAGTTTGTATGTCTCGGGATTTGAATGTAAACGTTTGTTTCAGGGCAGTAGGGTTTCTGGATACTAGCAGCCATCACATTACCAGACCGGAGATCAGTTCGTTGCAGTGTGGAGAGTAATAAGGAAAATAAGGATAAAATTCTAATGATAATATGAATAAAATTTCAGAACTGAGTAATATATAGATGCATTTAGTTTGTTAATTGGTAGTGAAGATTGTGGTAGAGACTAAAGTGTAAGCAAGGGAGAGGGAACGGAGATAATAGGCGAGATAGATTAATTGAGTGATCTGAGCGGACGCCTATGATAACAACTAACAGGTCTCAAGATATGCATCATGAACAGCTTGTCCAAGAGGGAGATGATAGTCTGTATGTGAGTACGTGATTAATAGGTCTCTTCTCAAAGCAGTCTACTGAGGGGGTTGTGGAAACCTCGGTTGGGAAAGCATTATAAGTTGCGACGACTCGTAATGAGAAGTGTGCACGAATCTGAGTATTCGCTCTTTGATGTGCAATCTTTCGAGGATTACCTCGAGGGGAGTGTAGAATCTTTTTTGAATGTTTTGATTTTTGGAAAATCCCTCCATGTTTATATATTTGTGTTATGATATGACTGACTCTTTCTGTTGACATTTGGGTACTTTATTTGATTCCATTTTGAGATTTTACCATTGTATATTGTTATTATTTCTATATTTTGTACTTATATTGAAGTTTTTGTGTTTGCTTCTGAACTGTACACATGTTGTTTAAATTTGATATATAATATGGCTACAGCCATATTTGGATTTGATATCGTTGCAGTTAATACTAGCATCACCTATTCTTTTGAAACTGGATACCCATCAGGGTAATTGGGATTTGGAAGGTGAATTAAAAGTCAGGTATTTGTTCGTCTTTCCATTTTAACATAATATAGACCACTTTCTCCTAGAATTATTGTGTTTTGATATTGGACTAAGGGAGAGTGCGTTCGACCTACACCTACTGGAAACAAATTGAACTGCTGCGGTAGAAAATTCATCTACAGGGAGTGATGGTGATGCATCAGTAAGATGCTGAGGTTGGGATGGTTTGACGCGCTTAATATATTGTACGCCATAATCAGATCACCTCTGATTCTCCCGTAGCTCAGTGGAAAAATTCCCAAGAGCTGAAATGTATTCTCTTAAGTTTTATTTTTCAACCCTTTCACCCATTCGGTTGCTCGCCTCTGCACTCGACCCAAGGGATTTCTGTCTCTTTTAAGCATAGGGGGTGCGATGACATTGTGAACCTCCAAGTGTGGGCACGCGTACGCATTAAATACGGTCAAGAATAGTTGCGGGGTGACAGCACCAAGTTGTCTTCGCATAAAGTGAAGAGTCGCATTTGCCTTGGCTGCGTCCCCTACATAGTTTGGACTGGTGTGGAGACTTTCTGTGGTTATTAAACCGAGATCGCTCTTTGAGGAGACATTAGGGAGCGGACTTTCATTGATCGTTTGCGTCGTGTGAGGCAGAATATGCATGACGTGGCACTTCGGTTGGCTGAGTTTTAAACCGTTCCTCAATAGATGTAAGGTCTTTTTGTAGCTCAGTCGAATCCCCTTCGCTTCTAATGGACCTCCAGATCTTCGCATCGTCTGCGTAGATCAATGCCGATGACCTAACTGAGCCTTTCAGGTCGTTAATAAATATCAGGAAGAGAAGTGGGCCTAGGATGGTCTTCTGTGAAACTCGCGATGTGGATACTCGCCAGCTCCCGTGCAATCTGTTTACCTTGGTACGAAACTCTCTATTCTGAAGGTAGTTTTTGAGTCAAGATAGGAGTGGGTCGGTGAAGCCCATTTTCACAACCTTTTTGATTAGGCGTGCGTGCGGCACTGTGTCAGAGGCTTTTGCAAAGTCCAGAAATATTACGTGCACCGGTATTTTACGGTCCAGACAGGATGTCCAACGGTTCGATGCGATGAGAAGATTAGATGCACACGACCTGCCTTTCCGAAACCCGTGTTGTGCTTCATGGAGTATTTTATTATTTTCCATGTACTCCCTTATTTGTTCGTCTACTAGTCCTTCCATAACCTTTTATAAGTTTGGTAAGAGTGAAACTAGTCTGTAGCAGTCTGGGTCCTTTCTAACGCCTCCTTTGAAGATTGGAGAGAGAGCAGCTTGTTTCAATTCAGCTTGGAATTGGTGTGACTACACTGAACGCCTAATCTTCTCAAATACCTCACTTAACCCTAATGGAGACGCATCTACACTGATGGTAGATGAAGATGGTCCAAGTAAAGATACGGTATTCAACAAATGTTAGGTGATTCTCAATATATTCTCGTGACGTTGCTAACATACAAACTATTTGATAGGAACAAGGTCAAAAATTCTCGATATTACCTGTGCGAATTGAAGAGTAGACTTGTTACTGATACTTTATCCGAGTGCTGAAATACTCGTGGATTAGTATAGCCACGGAACTCATGTCGGGTTTAAAACCTTAAGCATCTGAAGTATAGCCCATACGGTTAGTAGAATCAAGGTGAATGTGAGACTTGAGTGAGCATACAGTCATATTTGTATGAAAAAAGCATTTTTGCAAAACGTTTCTTGTGCAACTCGATATTTCCAGCCCGAAGTATCTGGATGAAGGGAAAATGATGTGGATAGAGAATATCAGTGCTATCTACAGTGAAGTAGACTTATTCACACTTGGAAATAAGACATCATGTTAATTATTCATATGACGTGGATCATTATTTACTTCCTCATCAACAAAACAGATGATTTCAGCTATCTGGAAAGTGTTGGGAGGAATTTGTATCAGCTACTTTTCTAAATTGTGATGATTTATTCTGGTAGTCAGGTACTCACATAAATGGGTTTATACGTGTTCACCAAAATTGCACTTAGAAGGTAATTTCTGAAGCACTAGAATGAAAACCATGAAAGTCTTTGTCAGGGCACCAATTAATTTATTCACCGATGCCCTTTCATATGTTTGGAATGTTATTACGCGAAAATCATCAGTTAGCAATCTGCTAAGTTTGTTAAAAAGCAGCAGAATATGTTTGTCTGGAAATGCAAGGCTCCTTAACAAATCGTATGTTTCCATACCATAAGCATCAATATAATTAGCTGGAGAGCAATCTTCCTTCATATTCTGTGGTAAACATACAGAATAATCTTCTACTTACCGTGGTAGTGCGTTGACAGATAATTTTCCCAGATTAGTCAAATACATTTATTCAGAGACGCAAGATTTAGATTTGGAGTAATCCAGCCAAATAATAATGATCCGAATTCACCTAGAATTTAAACAAGATACAATGAAGAACTAGGATTTGAAGAAGGAGAAATGATCTTATGCCAAGTAGGAAATACAATATTTGGTATTCATATCTCAAATGAACAAAACACAATTCCTTGACTATAATGTTTTAAATTTCAAAATGTGAGAAATTAATATATGCATTATGATTCGACTTTTCGAAGTTTCGTTTCTCTTCAGCTGTTTCAAAATTTAGCCTCTTGAC